AACCCAATGAGCACATCTATTCGTTGTGTCTTGTGTCCCTATTGACCTTCCACATTTGTTGTCATCATTGATCGATCCCCATTTTGAGATTATGTGGATCAGAAATATACGTTCGTAGACAAATTTTTAAATTATAGAGGCTCGTTTTCGATGATTAACGTTCAAATCTCCTTAATTACGTGACAAAGACATCATCGTCTGCCCCATAGCAATATGTTATTAAAGAAAAAATCGAGACATCATTTTTGATGTAAATGTGAACCTTACCATCTCAGATTTTAATCGTATTTCAGGAAGATGATAAGCTTATCTGGAACAGAAAATTATAAATTTTTATACGTATTCAACAGGTACTTTTTTGATAATCTCATTTTAAAAGTTATTAAATAACAACATAGAGGGTTGCTAAAAATTATGAAAGCACTTGAATATCGCGAGAACGGTTTCTGCAACTTGATTTTTTTTAAATAGCACTAATAGTCAAATATTCCGTGATTAAATAGTGCATTTTTTTTGAGTTCAGAAGTGTAACGCAGGCACTATTTTATTTTTGCCAACATGAAAACACTGAAAATCAGAAAATCGTCGCTAACCTTGAAAATACTATCACCTGTCATAATCCTAGCGTAGGACACTTTTTTCATAAATTATGCTAGTGCCCATATTATGCAACTCAAATAAAGGTATAAATATTCATTTAAATGCGATTTCCAAATAATTTATAAAATATTCTACAAATAACAAGATTCCGATTTAATGATTCTAAATAATGAATACATTGTTATGTAAGCTTTTTGAAAAATTTTAATTAAAATTACATTATTGAAAAAAGACCAAATTAACACTTAAAAAACAATAATTTTACAACAAACGTTGACGTTTAGTTAGGTGTGCTAGTGTTATGTCGAATGTATATAAGTCAATTTTTTATTTAGTTGGTTTTTTTTTTATCATTTGTGTTAATGTGTTATATTTTTTGACTCTGAAGAAATAATTTAATGTTAAATGTTTTTATCTTATAAATATATAATATACAAGACAAATTTCACAAGAATTAGTGCAGTACTTTCAGAGATGATGGATACTTTACTGTGTATAATTAAATGAATTTAAATTGAACTGTAGGTCTTCTGTCTGTTATTGGAAATTTTAGGTGTATTCTAGAAATCTCATGTATATGTTAAACATGGTAGATCGTTGATGAAGTTATCCGTTCATCCTATTGTGGTGTCCCGATTTTAAAAATTCAACTTGTGCAGAAAAAAAAACAATGTCGCGAAAAAGCATTTGAAAAATAAAAAATACATTCAATTACGTAAGCAGTGACCCATATTGCAGTCGTTTTTATAAGCCAGAAAGGTCTTTCATTGAATTTATTAAAAATATAAAATAATAGCACCAAGCTCAATTCGTGTCCGAAGTGGTACTGACGTCCTCCCATTCCCCTCCATCGTCGCCCAAGGCGGTGATGTCATCACCACCATCACGGAGTTCCAGAGCTACCGGCCGGCGTCAGCTAAAGTGGTTGCCGCTTAAATTTTTAGGAAATTTTTATAAGCCAGCGCACGTAGAATTGTATTAAGAGGTCATTCATTTCCTTTTTTTGGCGAGTTATTTGTTGTTTGTTGTAAGTGAAACCACCTATTAAAGTTGGTACGTAATTGCGTATTATCCGTTCACGATCTTTATATAGTAGGGTTGGCCATGAAAATCTAGTGAGTTTGTTGGTATTCGATGCAGAAGAATAAAAATTCCCTGAACTTTTTTCCTTAGGTTATGTTTTATTAAATTAAAGGTTAAAAATATGCCAGAAATATCAACATTGTTGCCGATACTTTCAGTTTTCAGTAGCAATAATCAAGTTAACGGTATCCATTTCTTAGAAAGCATAAAACTTTACGCTATTTAAAACAGTTATTCGGCTTTTTGTAAGTATTTATTTCATATGTAAGGAACAAACACTAAAATTTCACTTAAACATTGCTTTTGCATACGACTATTGTCGCATGCCACATTTAGCATCTCATCTTTAATTCTCAATCATCAGTTCGTTCTGCTCGCCCACTCTTCTTAGAAATGGAAATTTCGACCTTTGGGAACAGCCTATTTCCGTATCTTCCAACTTCTTTTTTCACTTTTCTAAGATTACTAAAAGGGTTAGTAAAAGACAACGACCTTGCTCTAGTGCTGTGACGGGTTTAGCTCTTCTGAAACATTTTTCCGGCTTTGAATTGAATGATTTATCCATATAGCTATTACTAATGCTTAGGTAGTGCTCTTTATTTGCTTTTACTAAGTACTTCCAAACGCTTATTAATAAGAACGTTACTATACGCCTTCTCCAGGTCCATGAAGAGTTACAAAAAAAATGAAAATGCTTAAAATTTGGTGCACAGTAACAACGTGGATGATCTAACTAAAATTATACTTATTTTGTTGTACGTCAAGTAGTTTTTCACATACTACCTTGAAAAATTTAGGACGAAAGATGCGTAAAAATATCACCCCCCGACAAGCTACAATTCACTTCATTTCCATTATTTCGCTATGTAAATCTGTATCATCACCGTCATTTTCCAATTCAGATTCTGAATCAGATTCACCTAGCGAAATAATGAAAGGAGGTATAGATTCGTACGAAAGATTTCCCATATTTTTTTCCCAATCTGCCAAAATAAGTTTTTCACAATGTTTACAAAAATTTTGCCACATGCTTGGAGTACATTTAGAAAGCGCCTCAAGCCATAATTCTCCACCCTATTTTTTAATGAAGGTTGAGAATTTATATGCTTGTTGCAATAGTTCTTACAAAATCCCCACGCCATTTCAATTGGATTATATTGACAATGGTACGGAGATAATCTAAGAACTTCATGGCCACTTTCTCTTAATATCTCGTCTACCAAATATTTTTTTCTATTGTTTCTGAAGAATTTAATTAAATCCCACAACTGTTTCTTCGAAATTTTTTTGTCAAATTCAACGCTATGTTTACAGAGCCATTTCTGCATTTCACATTTTTTACAAGAAAAAGTGGGTGGTTTATCCAAATGAACCGAATGATACGGTGCATTGTCTAAAACCACCACACATTTTTGGTTCAACTTTGCCAAAGCTGGAATGAGCTGATTAACCACCCAATTTTGAAAAATTGTCCCGTCCATCGTTTTATGATTGTCTCTATCGTTATTTTTTGAATTTAAAAAATTGTTACAACCATCCAAGAACCCCGTTGAACGACCCGCGCGGAGAATAGTAAACCTTGATCCTTCACTTTTAATTTTGGTGGGATTGCTTTTTAGATCAATATCGTGCACCCAGCGACGAATGGACGAACCATTTTGATAGATCCATGTTTCATCCAAATACGCGAAAGTCAAATTTTCACAAGAATTTAGAAGCTGTAAATATGTTCTCAAAAAAGTAATTTTGGCTGCAACGACATGTTTTTGTTCACATAGAATTTTGCGACCATTTACTTCCCTGTGTTTATAACCCATTGACTTAAGAATTTTGTATAATGTGGTTCGCCCCCTTTAAATTCCAACTGTTCCCTAGAATATGCCAAAAGAGTATCTACAGTGAAATATTCGTTTTTTTCATTAAGTTGCCAAATTTGTCGTTGCAGGTCTTTCCGAAATAAATAATTTGTAAATAAATCCGTTGGTTTTCGCTTGCCAGAGTGTGATGTTTTTAAATTTTGGTCCCCTGTTGATAAAATTTTCGCCACAGTTGATGTTCCTACCCATGAGAAAAAAAATTAAAAAATATTTTACAGCATATCTTACATTACAGAAAATATGTTCGAGACCCTCATAGTTACTTCTTCGAAAGAAAGATCGGGCCTGTCTTTTCGAAACTGTAAATAACATCTTTTTATTTCAATTTTTTGTTGCAGGAAAACTATTTCAGGCATTTTCTTTTTAAATAATGTCGCAATGATCTGTGAATCCGTCACAATGTCAAATTTATCTATGCTGACAAAATTAAAACATGTGTTTACTTAATTAAAAAATTGGGTCTAATAATTCTGATCTAATAAATGAAACAGAAAAGTGGCAATCCAGCTCAAAGCAAATGTCAATCAGACTACTGACATACAAAAAACTAAATCATCAAATCCGTTTATCCAACTTAAAGAAAAAATATCAAAGCCTACTTTACTTAAAAAAAAATCGAATCGAATCGCATTCAACCCCACCCTTTCCATCCAACGAGCGTCGTTAATCAAAGTGCAGTTAATTTATGCTTTTCTAGTCTGAAATATGCAAAAATTTTACTAATCCATCAAACACGTGTTATTTTGACAATCTTCATAAAGTGTGACGTCATTCAATGTTGTGCATTTATAAAGTTGATAGGGATATCGGTGTCCACATGAAACGCCCAGTTTATCAACAAGTTTCCATTCGTAGGTGTTCTAAATGATTTTCCCAAAGTTATGATTCATATTTATTTTCTTAACAGCTCAACCGAGATTTTAAGATAGCACTTTGATTTGATAAAAACTGACTTTAAATATTGATTTAACTATTTTGAAAAGAAAGAACATTGAAAATTATTACATGTATCACAACCCTACTTCGGTCATCTTCCTTCAGAACGAGGTAAAACCATGAATTAGGGGAGAGTGAAGAATTTAAAGTTGAAATCTCGAAAAATTGCAGAAATTATCACAAATAAAAAATGAAATAATTGAACAATCGGGAAAAGAAAAAATCCAAAAGATCGTAAAATCGAACATTAAAAAAATCTGAATTTTGGCAAATTTAAATTTGACGCCAACGTGCTTTGTTACGATTGGTCGGCATGGATGCGGATATTAATGTAATCTATATTTGCTCTGGCGGTTTTAATTCGTGAGGTTATGTTCGGCCGAATTGCACGTGCGGGAAGAAAATTTTAATCTTTTTTGGTTTTAACTGTGCTCCAACAAGATTTGGGTAAGAAAAGTGCCAGTGTTCTTCCATTGTACGATAAAACGATTTTAGGTGGACAACATGTCTACTCTGGAATACTGTCAAGAAATCACAACACGTTGCAGATCTTCATGGCAAAACGTTCACAACTGTAAACTATGTTCCTATTTTACTACTTCGCTTTTCTTTATTGTGAACCACGTGAGACGACACCGTTCATCTGCGGAGGAATTTACTTGCGACAACGCCAAAATTGAAGCTTATTACTGTAAAGACTGTGATTATAAGACGGAACTGACAGTTTTGTTCAAACAACACATTTATAAACATCACGGCCTTAAGAGAGAATCTGAAAAGGTTTTTTCAAGTGAGGATTTCCGCATACAAACCTACGTTTGCCAAAAATGCGACTTTGAAACAAATCTCTCGTTGAACTGGCTTCAACATACTTTAACGTGTACGAGAAATAAAGAAAATCTTCATAATGTGAACTTTTCAGAAGAGAAGATTACAAACAATTCCGACTTTAAGCAAACTGACGAAATACCTTGGTGTTACTGTGCTGAGTGCTCCTATAAAACTAAACTCAAAAAATATTTAAAACTTCACATTAAAAATAGCCATTCGCTCAAACGGTATGCTTGCGACAAGTGTCCATATAAAACTAGACGTAAAGCAAATTTAAGACTCCATATAAATGCAATCCACTTAGATGAACACGACATTGAATGGCACAAGTGCCAAAAATGTCCATTCAAGACCAAAGCAAAATCTAATTTAAAAAAGCACATAAAGAACTTACACTTGAACGACGAAGACGTTAAATGGCACAATTGCAATGAGTGTTCTTTTAAAACTAAGCATAAAAGATCCTTAGACGTGCACGTAGGAGTAAAACATCTAGATGAAGAAAAAATTAAATGGTATGCATGTGAAAATTGCCCGTACAAAGCTAAACGGGCGGCGTATTTAAGAAGTCATCTATTTAATAAGCATTTGAGTGATAGGGAAATTAAGTGGTACAAATGTGGAGACTGTTCATTCAAATGTAAAATAAAAAGTGGTTTAACAAGGCATGTAAAGAGGCATTTGAAGATCAAATAGTATACGTGTGATTATTACTCATATAACGCAGAGAAAATTTAAAGCGTCATATATATAAATAAACATTTGAATGGAACTGAAGTTAAATGGTACCAACTGTCGTTTTTCCTAGCATTTTGGGCCAGACTCTGTAATATGTTATATTTTGTGACTATCTTTTATTAAGATTATGATTATAAACAGTTAATTTTTTTTACATTACATACATTAAATATTGTGCCGCCTAATTTGAATTAAAAGTTCGCTACGAAAAAAGAAACAGCGACGCATTTGAATAATAATCTGTATTTGAAAAATGAACGGGATAATCATTAATGTTACCTAGGTTAACTTTATTTTGGTTTGGTAATTTCATGAAATAGCTTTTGTTTAAACGAAACATAATCGTACCGTCTTCCTAGTCGGAAATATGTGAATTTTTAACCATCTTGTTAACACGTATAAATTTGTTGATTGCTTTTAAACTTACCGTTCAACTTAGAGTTTTAAAGCGTTCCTCACTCTAACACCATCTAAATTGAACGTTGTTAATTTATTTCACGCAATCTCTCGAAATTGTACATTTTACTTTTTTTGTATGACACCGAAGAAATAAGCAACTTTATTCAAGTGAAATAGGTAATATTTTGAATTGTGAAAATTATAGTAATTGGCCTTATTCACGATTTAATTTTAAGCATCAATTCTCTTTGAAAATTAGCAGTGAATTAAATGTCGTCGTGAATTCGAAGAAGGAAAGGTGATTTTATGCTGATTTTGTGTTATGTTTTATGTGTTCTATGATTTCAATTTTGAAACGTTTAAACTCGGACACACCTCTCAAAGCGACGTGTGTACCGGACGACATTTTGTGTTTTTGGCGATATTTAACATATGTTTTATGTAAGTATGTGATGAGGGAATTTGATTCAAAATGTTGAACTTTAACATGTATGAGAAATAAAGAACTTTTCAGAAGAAAAAATTACAAATAATTCCCGCTTTAAGCAAACCTTATCAATATACATTTTTTTTATTTATGAATAATTTATTATGCTTACACCAAACAATAAAATTATCAATATTTCTCTTTTGAAATAAACAGTTTTCCCTAGAATTAAATACAAGTGGTCCAAAATGGGTCCCTTGTGTTACCCCATTTAGTTCTGGATGATTTCCATAAGTTATGATTCACGTTTGTGACTTCTTAACCAAGTTTATGATTTTATATATAAAAATTATATCTAAAAATTGTACAAGCTCAAAACTGAAAAATTTAAAGTCGAAACGTAAAACAATTGCAACCAAAATTAAAAATAAAATTGCAATATTGGAATCGGAGAAATCAAAAACAAATCGTAAAATTGAAGACCTGAAGAACTTTTAAAAAACCAAAAATTGGTGTCAATCCGAATTTGCGCCAATTTGAATTTGACCCCAATGTGTTTTGCTGTGATTGGTCTGCACGATTGCAGAAATTAATGTTTGTCGCACTGGAGATTTTAATTTGTGGGGTTATGTTCGTGTGTAAAGAAATGTTTAATTCCTCCCGGTTTTAACTGTGTTCCAACGGGATTTGGGTAAGAAAAATGTCAGTATTCTTCTACAATGTGATAAACCGGTTGTAGGTGGCCAGAATATCAACTTTGAAATATTGTGAAGCAATCGCAACAGGTGGGAGGTCTCCATGAAAAAACATACACACTTGTAAACTATGCCCTTATTCTTCAACCTCTCTTTTCCTTCTGGCGAACCACGTAAGACGACACTGATTCTCCCTGGAAACATTTACATGACAGCGCCAAAATGGAAGTTTATCAGTGTAAAGACTGTGATTTTAAGACGGTAGTGACACTTGTGTTTGAACAACACATTAATGAACATCACGGCCCTATAAGAGAATCTAGAGAGGAAACATCTAGTGATGAAATATCTTGTGAGGAAACATCTAGTGACGAAACATGTAGTGACGAAACATGTAGTGACGAAACATCTAGTGAGGATTCCAGCCTAGAAAACTGCGTTGGCGCAAGATATTACTTTGAGCCAAATCTGTCGTTAAGGTCGGTTCAGCATACTTCAGCATCCACGGGAACGGAAGAAACTCTTCAAAGTGTGAGTTCTTTGAAAGAGAGTGCCACATACAATTCCGACTTCAAGCAAACCCACGAAACACCTTGGTATTACTGCGCTGAATGTTCCTTCAAAACTAAACTCAGCGAATATTTAAAACTTCACACTGAAAATTGCCATGGGAACAAACGGTATGCATGCGATAAGTGTCCGTTTAAAAGTAGTCGTAAATACGATTTAAAACTCCACATAAATAGACTCCATTTAGATGAACAAGAAGTTGAATGGTTTCACTGCCCAAAATGTTCATTCAAGACCAAAGCAAAATATAATTTAAGAAAACACATAAATAACATACACTTGAACTACGAAGACGTTAAATGGTACAAATGCAAACAGTGTGCTTTCCAAACTAAGCATGGATCATGGAGTTTAAAACAACACGAAATTGCCAGGCATCTAGACGACTCAGAAATTAAGTGGTACGAATGTGGAAGCTGTTCATTCAAATCTAAAACAAGAGATAGTTTAACAAAGCATAAAAAGATCCATTCGAAGATCACATAGTACCATTGCGACTATTGTTCATGTAATGTAGTGAACATTTAAAGCCTCACATGAATAAGCGCCATTTAAAAGGAACTATAGTTAAATGATACCAACTGCCTTTCAAAATTAAAAGTGGAACAAAAAAGCGTTAATTGAGGTTTAGCTTGGTTTAGTTTAAGGTTAAGATTAAAAACATTTTATTATTAATATACAAGTGCAAAACGAAAAGTTTAATACATGATGCTACAATGAGACCGCAAAAGTATCACAGTTATTCATAACGACAAAGATTGTATAAAAAATAACTACATGAAACATGGAAAATTTTAACCAAACGATATTTTTACAATATTTATGTTGAATCGAATGTGTGCCGATCGTTTCCCAAGCGGCTTGTTGTCATTAAAGATTTTTGTGACGTTAATATAGATTAGAATAGATTTGTCTTGTAGTTGTTATTCAATTATAGTTTTACCTGCTGGCTTGATTATTTAAGTGCCCCATCGATCTGATAATTTACTTCTTTTTCGCCGGATGAGGAAACTTTTGTTCCAATTTCTGTCATTGGTTTTGGCAATACACAGTGAACTTTTCGTATTCCAGAAACAGAGTTCGTTTTTGAAACATTTCATTAATAATAATAATAATTTTGCGACGAATGCAGAGGGTTTAAATTTCATTCATCATTCGCAAAAGCTGGCACTTGTTATTAGTTTCCATTGACACCCATTGCTTGAACGTAATGTCATCCATCACATCTTCTAACTTTTAATTAATGAAACGATTAATTTATACGTACCAGGGTCCTCAGAGAATTCATTCACATGACATTCTGGATGCCCAGAAGGATCATAATTAGGGTCCGGATTTATATGACACGAAGCTTTTCTGAAATGTGCATACATTTTTACAAAATTTCATTGAAAGTGCTTTTGGTAATTTTTAATGTGATACAAAACGTGTTTAAACTAATCCTAACAAGATAAAAGTTAAAATATTTAAAGGATATTTAAATTTCAGTTCCATCAAACAGCGATACAAAAAAAAAACAAAATTGGACACACCTAAGTCCACCATATACAATAAATGTAATATGAACAGCTGCAACATTATATTGTTTACCATAATTTAAAATGAAGTGTTTTTCCAAATTGTCAGCTATGAAGTTTTGAGGCCTGTCAGACAAAATATATACTCCCCACAAAAATTATCGCTCCACCGTCAAAATTTTGTATATTTCTAATTTATATATATGTAGTAGAAACATATCGGTCGAAAATATATTAAATATTGTCGTTATTTGGCTCTGTCTTGCATACATTTATCCCTAATATATACGTGGTACCTAAACGTAGTCCGGATCACTACAAAGTAGGAGGTAGCTGATAATTTTTGTGGGGAGTATCTTTGTATTTTGAAAAATGTCCCTTGTGTTCCAAGTTGTCCACTGTAAAATTTTTTCGCCGATCATTTAAAATGTGTTTAAAATTGGAGAATGTGTGTTCAACATCCACACTCGTTGTTGGCGCAAATTTGAATTTTACAACTAATGTTGAATCTAACTCCAAATTTTCCACCTTCTGGCCTTGTAAAACACGAGCAACGTCGGAAAGAACACCGAAACCTGCAATTTTATTTAACACTTCGTCAAGTTTTTGAGATACTTTAGTACCAATATCACCCCTTACTGCGTTTGCTTGTTGTTTAAATTCTTTCACTAAGTTTATGGCATCTACCAACAACACGCTGGGTTTTTCTAACTTTTCTATTACCTCACATACGAATTGATAATTGCTTCTTAGAAAAGCTAGATCTTGTCGCAAATCTTTGTTTTCAAAATATGTATGCAATCTTTAATCGATTGAGAAGAATCTTCGCTAAACTCCGTAACTACTTCCTCAAATTCTTTGATATATTTGTCATAATAAAATGTGGCCTGTAACCATGTTCCCCACGTCGTTATAATCGGCTCTGGGGGCAATGGTATGTTTGGAAATTTGTCCTTAAAATGTTGCACTCTTAGTGGGGCTTTAACAAAAATCTTTTTACCATTTGCCACTAATTTATTAACAGTTGGAAACTGCAAACGTATTCCTTCAGCCACTCTGTTTAAACCGTGGGCAATGCAAATAGAGTGAATTAAATTGGGGTACAATATTTTTAGATTATTCCCTGCTTTCAACATATAACGAGCTGCATCCGAGATCATCAATAAAATTTTCTTCGCCGGTACGGCATTTGGCAAAAATAGTAACGTAAGACTGTCATTTACAAATCTGGTAATCGTATTGCCATTTGTTTTATCTAACATTTTCAAACTCACTACATACCCTCGACTAGGGAAATTTTCATTTAAGATTCCAACAATTAAACTTGCCGCGTATCTTCCACAACTATCGGTTGTTTCATCGACAGCGAACCATAAATAATTATCTCCAATGCGTTGTAAACTTGCTGAAACACTGGGCCTACATAATTTTTTCGGAGAGTACTTTCAACCGGAATATGTCGATTGCAGTGTTTTTCGAGGAATTCTTGAAGAGGGCCTTTCTCCAATTTTTTTAAAGGTATATTGGACTGGATCATCATTTTACATAAATCGAAATTAAACTGAAACTACTCATCTTTTGTGGAAGTAGATGCAACAGATTCATGTATGGTCTGCTGTTTAATTTTAGAAACTTCAAACATTTTCTTCCTTTCTACATGAAGAGTCGTTCTGACATGTTGCGTCACGTTATATTTTTTATCACTTTGAATCTAAAACAACGTACATATACAGGATTAACAAAGGAAAATAGATAAAAAAAAATTAGTGGGCTTACGGTTTTCACACAAGCTCTGCAGAATATTTTGTTGTTTTCTAATTTAAATTCTGGAAAATCCCTTATCCACTCAACCGGCGTCGATTTTACTTTCGGCATTCTTTTAAAATATTAGTAATATTACCAAAAAGAACTCAACATGTAACAAGGGAGAACCACGTATAACACTGTACTACGACAGATGCGATAGACTGATGGCTGTGAAATAAACGGTTCATTTACTTAAAAGTTTCCATTAGAAAAATTTTAAGGTAGGTAGTTGGGTACAATAATCCTTTTTTCTAGAAAATCTTCAACGGTCTTGCCGCAAAATGCCGACAGAAAACATCTGGTTAAAAGCTTTAATTCATTATCAACGGAAGTAAGGATTTAAAGTCATAAAATCTATGGAGTATTTTTCCATAGATTTCCTATAATAAAATTTTATTACCCAAACGACCGGAACCTATTCACAGAAAGGGTCTTGAGTAAGTGTACTTCAATAGTCAAGTACAGGTAAAATGCATACGATACGATACGCCTAACTAACAAGTATTTGTCATCCCGACAAGGCCGGCATTTGAACAAAATATGCATTAACACTCATATTCGTTGAAAAAAGCATTAAAGAAGCATATAAGTTTTAATGTACATAAAATTGAAAAAAAAGCAAATAAGCATAAAAAAAATATGTCAAATGACTCCAAATTGTATCATAGTTACAGATATAAAAAAGTTTTGAAGTGCTTACATTTTTCACAAAAAGCATTAAACCTAGAAATCCGTTCTCTAATAATCAATAAAATAACGAAACAGTTTACTCACGCGTGCCTCGTGTATTAGCAGAGGCGACTGAAAATCATTTATGTATAATCATTCTTAATTTAAGACAAGCAGCGGGAACACTTGTTGAGACTGTACACGTGAGAGTCAAACAGAAAAACTGCAAACAATACCGACGGTCGTCCAGACTTTTATTGCTCCAACTTCCGCTTATTCTATAAAACACTGGATTTTATTTTAATTTTTGATGATGTAGTTCACAATTGGTTGATTACAACTTGTCTGTACCACATTCACGGAAATTAGTCAGCGCAACAAAACAAATGCATGCCTGTAATGTTAATAAAGTAAATGTAAACAAGCGTGATACGCCTATGGTTCAAACGAGTTTTGTACTTTATGAAATTTTGTGTTTATCAAATTGGGTTGGTGCAATATAGCACTAATAATAACAGTGTTGTTTCTCCAAATTTTCGGGAAAGTGGAGTGAGCTATTCCTGATTTAATCAATTACATAAATTGACTCATTATTAAATTTTTTGAACCACCTGTAAAGAAAATCTAAAAAATATGAATGGAATGATAAATCACAACTATCGTCTCATCATACTTTGCACATTTACGATAGGATTTATTCAGCAAAATTTTGAGGTGACTTCACCAATTTTTTTGGGGAGGGATGAGCAAATACATTTTGACTAAAAATTTGCCATGCCTATGATAACTTTAAAACATCTCCAAGGTTTCAAAGCATTCGGTTTTGTAGTTCCTGATAAAATCAGTTAAATAAATTCAACAATTCATTAATTGTCTTGAGTCAATTTGAATCATTTATAATCAGGTGCAGATTTTAATAATGTACAAGGGCATTAAATCACGACGCAAATAATTTTCAACATCATGGACAATCATTTCTGGATCGATACGTCCTAAGTAATATTAATGTTGTTTTTCCATAGTACGCAGGAATGAGGACGAAGTTTTTTCCCCGTTATTAAAGATTTTGATTTGGACGCTGATTTCGACTTCTTTAGTAGATATCTCGTCCATTCGGAAATCTTCTTATCACCAATAGGGGCCTTTACGGATTTATCGGTGGGAACATTCAAAATATTAATGACCTTATCGCGTTTATCGGTGTTAGACACGTTTATCAGTGAAGGAGTAACGGCGGACGATTTGTGTGTTTTCGCTATCCTTTTTATAGTCGCAGATGCAGGTTTTTGCAGGTGGCGGGTTTGACACACTGTTTCCGAAGTTATTGCTCGGATGTGAAGAATTTAATAATCTGATTAGATCCTTATTAGTATTCTTAACTGCATTAAGTTCCAATTTTACTTTTTCAAGTTCCGAAAGTAACTCTGCATTTACCTGATATATTATCTCCCTAATAATTTCAACACATCCATCACTCTTGTTCGGAACTGATAATTTTCACGTTGAGACGTTCTACATACTTTGGATGAAACACTCGTTCACAAGTAATACATTTGCGGTCTACCACATGCTTTCGAACGCATTCCGCTATTTCAAAACACAAGGTAGGGTTGCATCTTCTTGACGACCACCATTAATAGCTATCACTTCAAAATTTTCACGGGTTTTCGAATTTTGTTCACATGTCAATTTTGAATGGTTGGCTTGGCACATGATCATAACACTCCCAATATTATAATAATCTACAACTAAATAGTATAAGTATTTATTTATCCTCAGGAGCCTCGTTCAAAAATTGGTCTGTTTTTTTACTGAAAACCCTTGATTTTTTGAATGTATTTTATGTATCACTTTGTCTTTCCAGATATGCCCGTAACTTCGAATACTTCGGTATGTCTACGGCTTGGTGATTAGTCGTTTAGCCATGTTATGTTAAATTATGTTTCTTGCAATTTCTTTTTTATAAGCCCCGACAGCAGCTTATGTAATTAGTGGAAAGGCAGTTTATTAACAAAAAAATTGCCGCTTATTCAACAGCCCGACTTCTGGATGATTTCCATAAGTAGAGTGCGGATTTCTAGGTTTAATGCTTTTTGTGAAAAAGTAAGCACTTCAAAACTTTTTTATATCTGTAACTATGATACAATTTGGAGTCATTTGACACATTTTTTTTTTATGCTTATTTGCTTTTTTTTCAATTTTATGCATATTAAAACTTATATGCTTATTTAATGCTTTTTTCGACGAATATGAGTTTTAATGCATATTTTGTTCAAATGCCGGCCTTGTCGGGATGACAAATACTTGTTAGTTAGCCGTATCGTATCGTATGCATTTTACCTGGACTTGACCATTGAAGTACACTTGCTTAAGACCCTTTCTGTGAATAGGTTCCGGTCGTTTAGGTAATAAAATTTTATTATAGGATTGAAAAAATACTCCATAGATTTTATGACTTTAGATCCTTACTTCCGTTGATAATGAATTAAAGCTTTTAGCCAGATGTTCTTTTTCGGCATTTTGCAGCAAGACCGTTGAAGATTTTCTAGAAAAAAGGATTATTGTACCCAACTACCTACCTTAAAATTTTTCTAATGGAAACTTTTAAGTAAATGAACCGTTTATTTCACAACCATCAGTCTATCGCATCTGTCGTGGAACAGTGTTATACGTGGTTCTCCCTTGTTACATGTTGAGTTCTTTTTGGTAATATTACTAATATTTTAAAAGAATGCCGAAAGTAAAATCGACGCCGGATGAGTGGATAAGGGATTTTCCAGAATTAAAATTAGAAAACAACAAAATATTCTGCAGAACTTGTGTGAAAACCGTAAGCCCACTAATTTTTTTTTATCTATTTTCCTTTGTTAATCCTGTATATGTAGGTACGTTGTTTTAGATTCAAAGTGATAAAACATATAACGTGACGCAACATGTCAGAACGACTCTTCATGTAGAAAGGAAGAAAATGTTTGAAGTTTCTAAAATTAAACAGCAGACCATACATGAATCTGTTGCATCTACTTCCACAAAAGATGAGCAGTTTCAGTTTAACTTCGATTTATGTAAAATGATGATCCAGTCCAATATACCTTTACAAAAATTGGAGAAAAGCCCTCTTCAAGAATTCCTTGAAAAACACTGCAATCGACATATTCCGGTTGAAAGTAGGTACTCTCCGAAAAAATTATGTAGGCCCAGTGTTTCACCAAGTTTACAACGAAATTAAACATCGCATTGGAGATAATTATTTATGGTTCGCTGTCGATGAAACAACCGATGGTTGTGGAAGATACGTGGCAATTTTAATTGTTGGAATCTTAAATGAAAATTTCCCTAGTCGAGGGTATGTAATAAGTTTGAAAATGTTAGATAAAACAAATGGCAATACGATTACCAGATTTGTAAATGACAGTCTTACGTCACTATTTTTGCCAAATGCCGTACCGGCGAGTAAAATTTTATTGATGATCTCGGATGCAGCTCGTTATATGTTGAAAGCAGGGAATAATATAAAAATATTGTCGCCCAATTTAATTCACTCTACTTGCATTGCCCACGGTTTAAACAGAGTGGCTGAAGGAATACGTTTGCAGTTTCCTACTGTTAATAAGTTAGTGGCAAATGATAAAAAGATTTTTGTTAAAGCCCCACTAAGATTGCAACATTTTAAGGAAAAATTTTCAAACATACCATTACCCCCAGAGCCGATTATTACGAGGTGGGGAACATGGTTACAGGCCACATTTTATTATGAGAAATCTATCAAAGAATTTGAGGAAGTAGTTAGGGAGTTTAGCGAAGATTCTTCTCAATCGATTAAAGATTGCATAAATATTTTGGAAAACAAAGATTTGCGACAAGATCTAGCTTTTCTAAGAAGCAATTATCAATTCGTATGTGAGGTAATAGAAAAGTTAGAAAAACCCAACATGTTGTTGGTAGATGCCATAAACTTAGTGAAAGAATTTAAACAACAAGCAAATGCAGTAAGGAGTGATATTGGTACTAGAGTATCTCAAAAACTTGACGAAGTGTTAACTAAAAATGCAGGTTTCGGTGTTCTTTCCGACGTTGCTCGTGTTTTACAAGGTCAGAAGGTGGAAAATTTATAGTTAGATTCAACATTAGTTGCAAAATTCAAATTTGCGCCAACAATGAGTGTGAATGTTGAACGCACATTCTCCAATTTTAAACACATTTTAAATGATCGGCGAAAAAATTTTACACTGGACAACTTGGAACATATTACAATCATAAATTGTTTTAAAGAAAACTGAAATACGTGTGTAAAATATAAAGTCTAGGATTATTGTAATAATATTTTATCCAAAGTTCTAAGAAATGTTCTTTGATTTGTAATATGATTATGTTTTTAATGCTTTTTTGCTTAAAATAAAACTTTTTTATTGAAAATGTTGTGCTTATTAAAGCGCTTATTCTTAATTTTTTTGTGCTTATAAATCCGCTCTCTCTCCATAAGTTATGATTCACGTTTGTTACTTCTCACCCGAGTTTATTATTTTATAAGTAAAAATTAAATCTAAACATTACCAAGCTCAAAATTGAAAAATTTAAATTTGAAATTTGGAAAAATTGCAACAAATATCAAAAATTAAGGTGAAATAGTTGAAAAATCGAAAAAATCAAAAACAAATCGTAAAATCGAAGACTTGAAGAACATTTAAAACAACAGAAATCCATGTCGATTAGAAAACATGCTTAAACATTTCGAATTTGCGCCAATTTGAATTTGACGCCAATGTGTTTTGTTGTGATTGGTCGGCACAATTGCAGAAATTAATGTAACCTTGTTGCAATGAGGATTTTAATTTGTGCGGTTATGTTCTTGCTAGTTACAAGTGTATAAAGAAATATTTAATTCTTCCCGCTTTTTACAGTGTTCCAAAGGGTTTTGGGTAAGAAAGTGCCAGTATTCTTTCACAATGTGATCAACCGGTTTTAGGTGGCCAGAATATCAACTTTGGAATACTGTGAAACAATCGCAACAGGTGGGAGGTCCCTGTGCAAAAACATCCACACTTATAAACTATGCCCTTATTCTTCAACCTGTCTTTTCCTTAAGGCGAACAATGTGAGACGACACTGATTCTCTCTGGAAACATTTACTTGTGACAGCGCCAAAATGGAAGCTTATCACTGTAAAGACTGTGATTTTAAGACGGAAGTGACCCTTGTGTTTGAACAACATATTAATGAACATCACGGCCCTAGCAGAGAATCTAGAGAGGAAACATCTAGTGAAGAAACATCTAGTGAGGAAACATGTAGTGACGAAACATCTAGTGAGGATTCCAGCGTTGAAAACTCCGTTGGCCCAAAATATTACTTTGAGCCAAATCTGTCGTTAAAGTCGTTTGAGGATACTTCAGCATCCACGGGAACGGAAGAAAATCTTCAAAATGTGAGTCCTTTGAAAGAGAGTGCCACATACAATTCCGACTTCAAGCAAACTGACGAAACTCCTTGGTATTACTGCGCTGAATGTTCCTTCAAAACTAAACTCGACGAAGATTTAAAACATCACACTGAAAACAGCCATGGGAACAAACGGTATGCATGCGATAAGTGTCCATTTAAAAGTAGACGTAAATACAATTTAAAACTCCACATAAACAGAAACCATTTAGATGAACAAGAAGTTGAATGGCACAAATGCCAACAATGTTCATTCAAGGCCAAAGGAAAATATAATTTAAGAAAACACATAAATAACGTACACTTGAACGACGAAGACGTTAAATGGTACCAATGCAATCAGTGTGATTACCGAACTAAGTATGGACCATGGAATTTAAGAAAACACGAAATTTTTAGGCATCTAGACCACGCAAAAATTAACTGGTACGAATGTGCAACCTGTTCATTCCAATGTAAAACAAAAGATGGTATAACAAAGCATGAAAAGGTCCATTTCAAGATTAAATAGTATAATTGCGATTGTTGTTTATGTAATGTAGTGAACATTTAAACCCTCACAGTAATATGCTACATTTAGAAGGAATTGTAGTTAAATGATACCAACTGCCTTTCAAAATTAAAAGTGGAACATCTTTTTATAAACAGCAAAAAAAAGCGTGTGGCAATTATTGGGGGTTTAGCTTGGTTTAGTTTAGTTATTTTTTTGATTAATTATTTATTGTAGCATTTGTGTCAGCACTCTGTAATGTGTTATATTTTGTGACCATCCTTTTATTAGGGTTATGATTAAAAACATTTTAAATATTTTTTTGTTTTTATATAACTTGTATTTAATAAACATTAGGTTTTTAAAAAATAACTATATATTAATATACAGGTGCAAAACGTAAAGTTTAATTACATAATGCTGCAATGAGACCGTAAAAGTATCACAGTTATCCATAACAACAAAAATTGTTTAAAAAATTCTTTTTCACTGGATGAGGAAACTTTGTTGTTGCTGTTATCATAGTCATGTTGAGAAATATTTTCAAAATTAATTCCGAATGTGTATCCGCATTTATTTATTCTGGAAAATTTTCTTACCATAGTTCTTTTCTAAAATAGCATTAACCTTATAGTTTGGCCTATTTTACCAGGAACTTTTCAAATATTTTCTTAAAAGTCTTTTAAAAACTGAACGGACTATTAAGGGCTTTTTCTATCACCCAAACATTTAAAATATTTTGATAATGCCATTTTTCACTCAAGCGTCCTATTAATAAATTTACAATCTAACGCCTACAAGTATCGGTGGTTTCGTTCACAGCAAAATGTATAGTGTGTCCACCAAAATTTTCTAAACCGTGATTTACTGCAGACGACAACTTACAGCTACAACACTGCTCCAAGCAGATTTAGGTAACCAAATTTGCATTGTTTCCTACTATAATAAAACTAAGCACGAAACACAATTTGTCGCCACACCCTCGTAATAACTTGGGTGTTACCATCCATTTACTTTAATTAAGATTTTTCTATTTTTTGTGATTAAATTAGTGATATTAAATTGTTTGTAGCGATTTGTAACGTTTTCTTGATTTTTTTAAGAGGGGGGGGGGGATTGCAGCTGGGAAGAAATAAGTTCGCGTTTTCACAGATTTTCTCTGTCCGTAATGGAGGAAAATATAATTGCCTCTCTATATTCTGCACTTGTACGCATTTCGCTATAAAATAAAACACACAACGTAGGGTCCAACTTGTTGACAATAACAGTTCAAAGCTAGATTTTGCAATAGTAAATATCTGTCCATGTCCAGCGGAACTTAACCCTGTGACGTAAAAAGTTCGAAATGTGGGGCAACTAAAATTTCGTACTTCTAGTTTTGGTACTCAATAGTGCAGCTACCTGTTCAAAAAGTATCTCAAATTTTGTTTGTTGATTTTTCTCTCTTACACATATAGTGTAATTAGTGTAACATCAGTTTATCAACAATTTTCCAATCGTGAGTGTTGTGAAATTTTAACGAATCGGTCAATATGTTATTTCACTGCTTGTGAATTCACAGTTTACGTTAGGACTGCTCGTGGTTTTAAGACAATTTGGTGGCCTATTTATTCTAGTGACGATATTTAAAGTTCGGGATGATTTTCCCAAAGTGATGATTAACATTTCATAATTTTTAGACCGAGATTTTAAGATAATGCTTTGATTTGATTAAAAGTAATTTTAAATATCGAATTAGCTAACCATGAATTAAGGGCAGATTGAAAAAATTAAAGTTGAACCTCGAAAAATTGCAGAAAATATCACAAATAAATTGCAAAATGTTGTTTCATAATTTTAATTTTTTTTCCAAGAATCTGGACGTTTCGGTTAAAAACTTAATTCGGAGTTATGAACCATATGTGTCGGATTATGTTATTTTATACAATTTAAAACCCATTTCCTATGTCCAATTTTGAAGTGACGTCGTCACCTTAGTGGTAGAGATGATTAGACAAATTTTGATTAGCGTTTTACCATCTACATGATATTCCTAATATAAATACAAAATTTGACTACAATCGGCCCAGTACTTTCGGAGATTCTCTGTCTAATAAAAATCCGGGACGACAGACAGACGAACAGACAGACAGACAGACGGCAACGGGCAACCTATTTCTTCGTACTCTAGGGGTTATGAAAGGTCGAGAAAACGTAAAAGTAGAGAGTCGGCCGACGGACTCGATTATATTCTTCCTTTGCTTAGGCTCGGAAAGTAAAAGTTGGCCGAAAGTTGTTTCGACAGAACTTCCCTGGCATCTCCACAATTTACAATATGAAATATAACGATTTTTTAGAATTTTAATATTCACAACGAATAACATCATTACAATTATTGAGATGGCGGTGGGAGGGCGGAACTTAAATTTTACTTTTTCTGGATATACGTAACAATCTTTTCACGACAATACATATTTAAAATGGTAAATTTTTGTCGGGAAACATCGATTTTACAATTACGCTCCGCCCGCCCCTCGGTTTGACAACGAATGAAAAATTCATCACAATTGAGATTAGGGTGGGTGGATGGGGCTTATTTTATTTTTTGGATTTTTTTCTTTAACATATACATAGTTTCTTTTCAACAACATGTTAGTGCTCATTCACAATGGGCATAAAGCATAAGAAAGAAAAGAAGATTACGAACAAGAGAAAAAGGCAAATATTTTGGCTTAATTCTAGACTTCTTTTCCCGAATTTCTAATTTATTATTAATAAATATTAGTAAAAATGTGTTAGTGTTAGTACTGTGAACACAAACGAAAGTGGGGGGGAAAATAAAAGGACCGAAAACGGGGAGGTACGACTTCAGTTTTAATTTATCAAGTTCCATGATTTGTTTACTCGACAATATTTAAATTTTGGAAAAAATTTCGAAACGATTGAAGTTGGTCGATCAAAGCTATACATTTTCACGATATTATTAAATAATATTTAAACATAATTAATATTATAAATACGATAAGTATTAATATATGATAATTAAATCGTACACCGTTTTCTTCAAAACGCAAAGCAATTTGTTTAAATTTTATTAAATTAACCCCGAAAATGTGCAATTTCCCGGCCAAAATAAGAAAGATAATTTTTGCAATCTCATCGTGACGTACGATGACGTCACTGTCACGTGAGCTACCTGTTCAAAGGTCGCATTTTGCGGCCCCTTGTGTTCAGTTTAGATTTCGGTCTGATGGCAACAACATTGGAAGTCCGGTTTGGCTTACAAGAAGGGCTCGTTTCGCTGATCTCTAATTTATTATTAATAAATATTAGTGAAAATGTGTTATGTTGGTACTGAAAACACGAAAGAAAATGGATATTTTTCCGAAAAGGACTGAAAACGGGGTAAGTACGACTTCAGTTTTAATTTATCGGGTTCCATGATTTGTTTACTCGACAATGTTTAAATTTTGGAAAAAATTTCGAAACGCTTGAAGTTGATCGGTCAAAGCTATACATTTTCACGATATAACTAAATAAAATTTAGACATAATTAATATTATTTATAATGCTCAAATATGGTAAGTAACTATTAATATCTGAAAATCAAACCGAAAACCGTTTTACTAAAAACACGATGGTATTAAAAACAAAGCAATTTGTTTAAATATTTTTAAGTTAATCCTAAAAATGTCTTAATTTCCCGGCCAAAATATGAAAAATAATTTTTGTAATCTCATCGTGACGTGCGATGACGTCACTGTCACGTGAGCTACCTGTCCAAAAGTCACATTTTTCGGTTCTTTGTGTAAAAGTAGAGCAATTTGAGGAATTTCTAATTTATTATTAACAAATATTAGGGAAAATGTGTTGTGTTATATCTGTGAACACGGAAGAAAATGTATATTTTTCCGAAAAGGACCGAAAACAGGGCAAGTACGACTTCAGTTTTAATTTATCAGGTTCCGTGATTTGTTTACTCGACAAAGTTTAAATTTTGGGACAATTTTCGAAACGATTGAAGTTGGTCGATCAAAGCGCAGACATTTTCACGATATAATTAATATAATATTTAAGTATAATTAGTATTATTTATAATGTTTAAATAATAAATAATTATAATGTTTAAATACGATACGTATATGATAATTAAATCGAACACCGTTTTCTTAAAAACACAAAGTTACTAAAAACAAAGCAATTTGTTTAAATATTATTAAATTAACCCCGAGAATGTGCAATTTCCCGGCCGAAATATGAAAAATAATTTTTGCAATCTCATCGTGACGTACGATGACGTCACGATGAGAGTCACGTGAGCTACCTGAGCCATTTTTCGGCCCCTTGTGTTCTGTTTAGATTTCGGTCTGATGGCAGCAACATCGGAACTCCGGTTTGGCTTATTTTCGCGAATTTCTAATTTATTATTAATAAATATTAGTGAAAATGTGTTGTGTTGGTACTGTGAACACGAACGAAACTGGATATTTTTCACAATACTCGATAATATTTAAATTTTGGGGAAATTTTCGAAACGAAATTTTCACGATATAATTAAATAATTTTTAAACATAATATAATTGACAATGTTTAAATATTATAAGCTTATAATTCAGAAAGTACGGCGTCGGAATATACAAAATGCGACGTCATCAATTTTTTGGAGGGGATAAGTAAATATATTTTGATAAAAAATTTATCATGCTTATGATAACTGTAAACCATCTGCGTAAGATTTCAAAGTTTTCGGCTTTGCAGATTCAAAATTAAATTGCAAAATGTTGTTTTATAATTTTGATTTTTTTTTTCCAAAAATGTGGATGTTTCGGGTAAAAACTCAATACGGAGTCGTAAACTACATGCATAGGACTATGTTATTTGAAACAATCTAAAACCCATTTACTATATGCAATTTTGAAGTGATGTCTTTCCATTATTGGTGGGGATGATAGGCAAATTTTGCTCAGCGTTTTACGATCTACATGATATTCCTAATACAAATACAAAATTTCACAACAATCGGTCCAATACTGTCTGAGATTATCTGTCTAATAAAAATCCGGGAGATAGACGGACAGACAGACTGAAACGGGAGACCTATTTCTTCGTCTTCTAGGGGTCATGAAAGATCGAGAAAATGTAAAAGTATAGAGTCGGCGGACGGACTCGATTACAATACTTTCTTTACTTACGCTCGGGAAGTAAAAAGCAAAGTTCCAAGAATCGAACACTGCGGAACACCCACTTATATTTTCCTGACAGCTCAATTAATATTATTAAAGTGGACAAATTGAGTTCTTGTGCTTAAGTAGGATTCAATTAACATTATACTGTTGGTATTGACAGAATAATATTTAAACTTCTGTAAAAGAATACTGTGGTTAGATAAGTCAAAACTTAACATTGAACTTTTTTTTTCAAAGGCTTGAAGAACTTCATTACAAAGTATACTAACAGCTAAACTCGTTGATCTATTATTATAAGTAATCAATTCTGCACCGCGCTCTCCCATAAAATTGGAATAGGAAGTTGGCGCATACTCCCGTCGATCCTTGGGAAACGCTGGTGGAGATTTTTCTATGGAAAACGTTTATTTGGATCCCGAAGCATGATTTTCTATTACGACGTCTGAATGACTTTTCGGTGTTAAAAACCTCCTAATTAATACTCCCTGAGGCCATGAGTCGCACTTAAGGATCTTATCAGAATCGTATTGTAGAACATCTAATTTGAATGATATAATGATATAATCAGGTGCAGATTTTAATAATGTACAAGACGCAGAATTGAACTTAAATCAAAACACAAATAATTTTCAACATTGTTGACAGTCATTTCTGGATCGATACGTCCTAAGTAATATTAATGTCGTTTTTCCATAGTACGCAGGGATGAGGACGAAGTTTTTTCCCCGTTATTAAAGATTTTGATTTGGACGCTGATTTCGACTTCTTTAGTAGATATCTCGGTTGAGTCCACTCCGAAATCTTCTTATCACCAATAGGGGCCTCTACGGATTTATCGGTGGGAACATTCAAAATATCAATGACCCTATCGCGTTTATCAGTGTTAGACACGTTTATCAGTGAAGGAGCAGCGGCGGGCGATTTGTGTGTGTTTTCGCTATCCTTTTTATAGTCGCAGACGCAGGTTTTTGCAGGTGGCGGGTTTGACACATTTTTTCGCTGGAGCACTGAAGAAAAGTTATCGATGTTATGTCTATTTCCGAAGTTATTGTTCGGATGTGAAGAATTTAATAATCTGATTAGATCCTTAATTAATATTCTTAACTGCATTAAGTTCCAATTTTACTTTTCAAGTTCCGAAAATAACTCTGCATTTACCTGATATATTATCTCTCTAATAATTTCAACACATCCATCACTCTTAAAAAACCCAATCATCTCAGGGACGTCGTTGGCTATAGCATTCACTATGCAACAGTCAACTTGTTCAGAGCTGATAATTTTCACGTTGAGACGTTCTAAGCACTTTGGATGAAACACTCGTTCACAAGTAATACAAGGTAGGATTGCATCTTGTTGACAATCACCATTAATAGCTATCACTTTAAAATGTTTACGGGTTTTCGAATTTTGTTCACATGTCAATTTTGAATGGTTGGCTTGGTACATGATCATAAAACTCCCAATATTATAATAATCTACAACTAAATAGTATAAGTATTTATTTATCCTCAGGAGCTTCGTTCAAAAATTGGTCAATCCGTTTTTTACTGGAAACCCTTGGTTTTTTAGATATATAAGATTCACTTTGTCTTTTCAGATATCCCCGTAACTTCGAATACTTCGATATGTCTACGTTTTGGTGATCAGCCCTATAGCCATGGGTTGAAAGATTGTGTTAAATTTTGTTTCCTGCAATTTTTTTTTAACCCCGACAGCAGCTTATGTAATTAGTGTAAAGGCACTTTATTAACAAAAAAATAGCCGAAGGTATGATTCACATTTGTAACTTCTCACCCGAGTTTGTTATTTCAACTTCAAATTCAAATTAGGAAAAATTGCAACAAATATCAAAAATAAAAATGGAAAGAAAGCTTCAAGAACATTTAAAAAAACCAAAATCGATGGCAGTTGGAACACATGCTTGGACATTTCGAATTTGCGCCAATTTGAATTTGACGCCAATGTGTTTTGTTGTGATTGGTCGGCACGATTGCAGACATTAATGTAATCTTGTGGCAATGGGGATTTTAATTTGTGCGGTTATGTTCGTTCTAGTTACAAGTGTGTAAAGAAATATTTAATTCTTTCCGGTTTTAACTGTGTTCCAACGGGGTTTGGTTGGGTAAGAAAAATGCCAGTATTCGTTCACAATGTGATCAACCGGTTTTAGGTGGCCAGGATATCAACTTTGGAATACCGTGAAGCAATCGCAACAGGTGGGAGGTGTCTATGCAAAAACATACACACTTGTAAACTATGCCCTTATTCTTCAACCTGTCTTTTCCTTATGGCGAACCACGTAAGACGACACTGATTCTTCCTGGAAACATTTACTTGTGACAACGCCAAAATGGCAGCTTATCACTGTAAAGACTGTGATTTTAAGACGGAAGAGACGCTTGTGTTTGAACAACACATTAATGAAAATCACAGCCCTAAGAGAGAATCTAGAGAGAAAACTTCTAGTGAGGAAACATCTAGTGAAGGTTCCAACATCGAAAATTACGTTGGCGCAACATATTGCTATGAGCCAAATCTGTCGTTAAAGTCGTTTCAGCATACTTCAGCATGCACGGGAACGAAAGAAAATCTTCAAAGTGTGAGTTATTTGAAAGAGAGTACCACACACAATTCCGACTTCAAGCAAACTGACGAAACACCTTTGTATTACTGCGCTGAATGTTCCTACAATACTAAACGCAAGAAATCGTTAAAGCATCACACTAAAAAAATGCATCCGATCAAACGGTATGCATGCGATAAGTGCCCGTATAAATGTAAACGTAAATTGGATTTACAAGGCCACATAAAAAGAAAACATTTAGGTGGTGAGAGGTACAAGTGCCAAAAATGTTCATTCAAGACTAAAGCAAAAGCGTATTTAAGACAACACATAAACAACATACACTTGACCGACGAAGACGTTAAACGGTACAAATGCAATCAGTGTCCTTTCCGAACTAAGCGTGCAGAAACTTTAAAAAACCACGTAATTGTCAAACATGTAGACGAAGCAAACATTAAATGGCACGAATGTGGAAGCTGTCCATACAAAACTAAAATAAAAAAAACTTTAAGAAGGCATGAAAAGATCCATTCGAAAATCAAATAATACAATTGCGATTATTGTTCATGTAATATAGTGAACATTTAAAGCCTCACATAAATAAGCGCCATTCAGAAGAAACTGTAGTTAAATGGTACCAACTGCCTTTACAAAATTAAAAGTGGAACATCTTTTTATAAACAGAAAAAAAAAACGTGTGGAAATTAGTTGAGCTTTTGCTTGGTTTAGTTTAGTTATTTTTTTTATTAATTATTATATTGTAGCATTTGTGTCAGGATTCTGTAATGTGTTATATTTGTGTGACCATCCTTTTATTAAGGTTATGAATAAAAAGATTTTAAATGTTTTTTGTTTTTACGTAACTTGTATTGCGTTGACTCAAGATCTTCTGGAAGTGTGCAAATGGAGCTCGGAATGGTTACTTCCACTAAATATTACAAAATGTAGAGTTCTTTACATTGGGAACATACCTATTTGATAGACGGTGTATAGACATGTGTAAATTTGATTATTCCCATGTCCACTTAGGAGTATTTGTCACGTCCACTCTTTCTTGCTCCGAACATGTCGTGAGCAGCCCCGCAGCTAGAGAACTTATTCAGGGGGGGGGGGGGGGGGGGGGGCAAGTTTGTCGACAGAGGGGCTTCATGTAAATATATATATATATTTTAATAATACACTCAGATAACTACTTTATTTTTTCTCAGATTTTACATTTGAAAGAACATTAAAATAATTGTAAACATCGATTTTTTACGCTGTTAAATTTTCGTAGAATCCTGTCGAAGTCCAAAGAATTGGTACGGTACTTTTCAAAAGCCAGAAAAACGAAGTTTTCCAATCTTTGATGCGTCATTGAATGCGCCGGGCGATCTATTTTGGTTAAAACAGAGAATGTAGATTTACAAATATCTGTACTGCATCCAAAAATTCGTGCAGTGGCCAATAACACTAGGTTGGTAACAACCAATTTGTTGAGAGCTTGTTTTTTGCATGTTTAATAGTAGGCTATGGAATCAAATGTGACATAACTAGAGAGCGGATTTATAAGCACAAAAAAATTAAGAATAATGTAATAAAAAAGTTTTATTTTAAGCAAATAAGCATTAAAAACATAATCATATTACAAATCAAAAAACACTTCTTAGAACTTTGGATAAAATATTATTACAATAATCCGAGACTTTATATTTTACACACGTATTTCAGTTTTCTTTAAAATAATTTATGATTGTAATATGTTCCAAGTTGTCCACTGTAAAAATTTTTCGCCGATCATTTAAAATGTGTTTAAAATTGGAGAATGTGCGTTCAACATCCACACTCGTTGTTGGCGCAAATTTGAATTTTGCAACTAATGTTGAATTTACCTCCAAATTTTCCACCTTCTGGCCTTGTAAAACACGAGCAACGTCGGAAAGAACACCGAAACCTGCATTTTTATTTAACACTTCGTCAAGTTTTTGAGATACTCTAGTACCAATATCACCCCTTACTGCGTTTGCTTGTTGTTTAAATTCTTTCACTAAGTTTATGGCATCTACCAACAACATGTTGGGTTTTTCTAACTTTTCTATTACCTCACACACGAGTTGATAATAATTGCTTCTTAGAAAAGCTAGACCTTGTCGCAAATCTTTGTTTTCCAAAATATTTATGCAATCTTTGTGTTCCCCACCTGGTTATAATCGGCTCTGGGGGCAATGGTATATTTGGAAATTAAATATTGTCAATAAATTAAGTTTTCATGGTTGACTGTTATTATAATACTAGTTATATAATGAAACATCATTATAGCACTAGTTACATAATGAACATCATTATGTAACTCATAATCAGTTATATAAGAGTAACTTTATTAACAAGTCGTAAATAAATAATGTTAACAGTAGTTACTAGATATCTGATTAATATACCTATGTATATACATGCTTCGGAATGTTTTATTTTTATTAGTTAATTATGCAAAGTGTTTTTCAGTTGATTTTACAAAATGGCATGTTAAATCGAAAATTAACGTTTCTGACAGGGCAACAGCAAAAAATATTTAAAAACATACATATCGAGTATTATATAGCTCTATTTTATATTTATTATTTATGTTTGTGTTGCAAGTAAATGCAAATGTGTCGTTGGGACACAAACAAAGCCATAAAAATTCTTTGCCCATTGTCCCTGAAACGGGACAAGGTTTTGAAGAGTTCATTCGTCGAATTTTGATTTTATAAAGACGTTTATAAAGCGATGATGGGTAGCAAAAAAACCAGAGAGTGGTTAATTCTGATTTTATTAAATTTATTTTATCTAATGAAGAAATAACGCTCAACTTCTGCATTTACTATCCACCAGATGTTTCGGGGGTGCAGTCGGACCTTTGTTAGTTTGGTTTGTCTATGAGTCGGACGATCCCTTTTTTCCGTATTTATGGTTATTGCACTTCACACTCACAGTGAAGCTGTCGAATTCCATTTGGCCATTTGGTTCACAACCACCGAACCTTTCTCGTGAATCCGTAACTCACTTCATTTTTAATGCAGTTTTGTGAAAATTGTGTGGGTTGAATTTACACTAATATAATTCTAATGAAGTAATCATTTTAATTTTTACATGCTTCTGTTGTTTTTGATAACTGTACGTAAATAACAACAACAGTTTTTTCAGACAAGCTGGAAATACCACCATTAATCACTGAAGATACTCCCGCTGATTTTGAAGAACTTACGGTGATTGTTTTTGAAAGTGAGGCGCTTTGCCATAACATGTTGCAAAGGTATGTTACTGCAATTTTTTATGAACTAGGTGCTAATGAACATAATTTTACTCTAGACTTGAAACAAATACAAAAAATATGTGCGAAACAAAAGAAATTTTAAAGGAAACGAGTCAACAAATCTCCAATATGAAAACGTCATCAAATGTGACAAATCAAAAAGAAAACAGTAATAGAAGATATGCCGCCAAGACCACAGATAAACAAATTTTGAGGAATTAGAAGACTATCTCTGCCTACTACAACAACCAGGTTTCTTTGTAAGTTAAAAAAATACAATTAGTCCAGTCAAATTAGCGATCAACCTCGCAATGAGAGATAATAAGCTGAATTTTCGTATATACCTTCATTTTAGCGTTCTAAAAGTTGTCTCAAAAGTCTCATAAAATCTCGTGTCTGCGTCGTAAGTTATTCAAGGTCAAAAGTCAAGAAAAACATTATTTTGCGATTATCTCGGTTTCTATTGCTCTAATGATGTTAACACGTATTATCATAATTGTAGAGCACAAATTGGGGACAAATTTTATTTGAAACATTTTTTGATACACTTAATCGTTTTTGAGATAGAGGGCAGTGGGCGCGCAGCGTTCATCCATACATACTGTAATGCAATCAACCGTGAATATCTGTGAATACTACCTTGAATTTTGAAAAATTTGTATTATTTATCAGTTAATACATTGCATTTAATAACATTTTGCATATTTTCAATACATTTATTTAATGATACTTACCTACTCTGTGTAATTAAAAACTCTTTAAATGACATATTTATTGTAGGTATATCTTAGGTTAGATTATTATATATCTTACATTTCTTACGATTGAAATTGAATTGCAGTGAAAATCTATAAATTTTTAATAATTTAAAGAACAAAAGTATCAATTTTCTTCTTCTTCACCGTCATCTTCTGGACGTTCGGGAATTTCTGTTTCATCGTCGTCATCTTCGGTGCCCTGAATTGTTGTTTCCAGACCTTCCAGTTATAATCATGATAGCAAAATAAGTATTTAAAAACTTACACATTTTAAAGATATAAATAAATTGAGATATACAATAAATATTTCATTAAATGAGTTTTTAATTACACAAAGTAGGTAAGTATTATTCTATGAATATATTGAAAATATGTAAAATGTTATTAAATACAATGTATTAATTGATTAATAAATATATAATAATACAAATTATTCAAAATTCAAGGTAGTATTCACAGATATTCAGTTGATTGCATTACAGTACGTATGGACGAGCGCTACGCGCTCACTGTCCTCTATCTCAAAAACGATTGAGCGCATGAAAAAATATTTCAAATAAAATTTGTCCCAAATTTTGTGTTCTACAATTATGATAATAATTGTTAATTAACATCATTGGAGCAATAGAAATTGAGATAATTGCAAAAAACTGTTTTTCTTGACCTTTGACCTTGAATAACTTACGACGCAGACACGAGATTTTATGAGACTTTTGAGACAACTTTTAGAACGCCAAAATTAAGGCGTATACAAAAATTCAGCTTATTGTCTCTCATTCCGAGGTTGATCCCTTTTTTATGCTAAAATGACTGGACTAAATATATTTATATGTACTTACATATAACATAATTTTGGATATTATATAGAGGTAGATGCCTGTAATACTAACACTTTTTAGGAACCTACTAAACATGACACATTTCGCTTAACACGTTACATACATAGTGGATTGCAGAAAACTCTTATAGTGAAGCACCCTGTATGTTATACATACGCGGTGACTTCCAAATAGATTCGGAAAAAAAAATCCTTTAATTGTCACACGGATCCAAAGTAATTAAATTGCTGCTCCAGTTTCAAGAAACAAATACGGAACATCTTGTTAAATGTAAATGATGCGGCAATGATTTATTCAGTTTCCATTGTGACTAAATTTTTTCTTTAATTTTGCTGTGTGTTGCTTAGATGAAAACAAATGGCACTGAATGAAGTGTAGATCTTGATATTTTTTCCCCTGAATTAGGACTAGATAAAAGAAATTACTTAAAATTTTCTCTACTTCGTGATGTTGTGGTTTTATTTTCCGAACTTATTTCAGAGTCACTCGATATATACACATAAAAATATTTTCTTCTTTTCTTATTTCAGGAACTGCTATTGTCCCAGATAGGTGGTAATGGGAAAAACAACAATGTGGGGCGTATATTAAAAAAAAAAAAAATTCAGGGAATTTGCTGTAGCTTGTTTGTTCGGTAGGAAAATTCCAAAATGGCTGGGACAAAAACAGTGAATATTATGAAAGGTATTTTTTTTTTGCAATAAATATATTTATTACAATTTTTATTTTTGAAGAGATTACAATGAAGACCCATTCCGCAAAAGAAAAAGAAGTAGAACAACGCTGCTCAGAGTGGCTACGACATTCTAGTCAACGCCTGAAGAAAGGAAAAACAACGACAGTTTATAGTTTCTCTGTCTTTTTATAAGTGTAAATTATATTGTATTATTTTCGAATTAGGAAATCATATATATATTTATTTATTTATATTATGAATTTATATTAATTTTTGTATTTTATTACTGATTACATATTATATTTTTTCAAACATTGAATAAAATAATAATTTACTGTAAGCTCTAAATTTTACTCTCCATATCCATATCCCTAAATGGTAACTAGACTTTTTGAAATGCCTATTCATATCGCATAGATCATGTTAATAAAATATACTGAGAGTTATATGTTTACGATGTTGCGATATATACGTAACGTCTATGTCCATTTAATACGTTATATTGGCGTTTAAAATAAAACGTAACAGATACATCAAAATATAGAGAATCTAGCGACATACTAACACAACGTTATGATGATGTACCAGCGAGCACGTCTCTAGTCTGAAACAATGTGGATGTCACCAGTATGTTACAAGCATGGGTCACTGTTGATTACATTACATAGCACAGGGAAAGCAAATGTACGCAGTTTGGGATGTAACAGCTAACAAGATCGTAGACAGAGTTAAGTGGCATTAACATCGCTACGACGTAACTGCGTTTACTGGGTAATGTAATCTATTTGCCCTGGCGCTTTTAGGTCGTGAGGTTATGTTCGGCCGAATTGCACGTGCGGGAAGAAAATTTTTATCTTTTTTTATTGTAACTGTGCTCCTACAAGCTTTGAGTAAGAAAAGTGCCAGTATTCTTCCATAGTGTGATAAAACGTTTTTAGGTGGACGACATGTCAACTCTGGAAAACTGTCAAGGAATCACAACACGTTGGAGATTTTCATGGTAAAATGTTCACAACTGTAAGCTATGTCCCTGTTTTACAACTTTGCTTTTCTTTATGGTCAACCACGTGAGATGACACCGTCCATCTCCGGAGGAATTTACTTGCGACAACGCCAAAATTGAAGGTTATTACTGTAAAGACTACGATTTTAAGACGGGACAAACAGTTTTGTTCAAACAACACATTTATAAACATAACGGCTTTAAGAAAGAATCTGAAAAGGATTTATCAAATGAGAATTTCCGCATACGAACGAGAAATAAAGAAAATCTTCAAAATGTGAACTTTTCAGAAGAGAAGATTACAAACAATTCCGACTTTAAGCAAACTGACGAAATACCTTGGTGTTACTATGCTGAATGCTCCTACACAACTAAACTCAAAAAATATATATTTAAACGTTACATTGAAAATAACCATACGAATAAACGATATAAATGGAATTGACTTAGATGAACACGTTATTGAATGACACAAGTGCCAAAAATGTCCATTCAAGACAAAGCAAAAGCTAATTTAAAAAAACACATCAAAAACTTACACTTGAACAACGAAGACGTTAAATGGTACAAATGCAATCAGTGTTCTTTCAAAACTAAGTATAAAATATCCTTAAACGTACACGTAGGAATCAAACATCTAGATGAAGAAAAAATTAATTGGTATGAATGTGAAAATTACCCATACAAAGCTAAACTGCCGTCGCATTGAAATCATGTAGTTTTTCACCATTTGGATGAAAAAACAGTTAGGTGGCACGAATGTGCCAACTGTCCATGTAAAAGTAAAGCCCAAAAATTAATTTGAGACCCCATGTAAAAATCCATTTGGGGATCAAATAGTATCAATGTGACGTTTGATTATTATATGAGACGAAACACAGTATTCTTTTAAAACGTCACATAAATAGCGACCATGTGGATGGGACGGATGTTAAGGAGTACAAATGCGAACACTGTCCTTACAAAAGTCAAAGTAGATTATCTTTTTATAAACGCAGAACGAACCACGTTGGCATTTAGTTGATTATAAGCCGGGTATCCCTGTACTAAATTGAATGTAGTAATAAGTATATGTTTTGTTTACCTAGTATTTTTCTTATCATTTATTTCAGCACTCTATGTTGCACAAAACATGTGACTATCTTTTAATTAAGATTTTGAATAAAAAATAATTTAATGTTTAATTTTTTACACTACATACATTAAATAAATATATAACGCGTTTGTAAAATAAAGCACATAATATGCAAACCATAAGGTTAAATAAGTACCTGACTGCATAACGAGACTATAAAGTGAAAAACGGAATTAGAACACCTGTTCATTGTTTCCTTGTTGAACTTCCACGTTTATTGTTGTCATTCATAAGAATTAAAAAAATTAAAGTTGAGCGACTAAAAGTCTAAAATTAAGAAATTACAATACAATACAATACAGAAAACTGAAAAATCAAAAAATCGAAAACCTGAAGAACATTTAAAAAACAAAAATCGATGGCAGTTAGAACACATGCTTAGACATTTCGAATTTGCGCCAATTTGAATTTGACGCCAACGTGTTTTGTTGTGATTGGTCGGCACGATTGCAGAAATTAATGTAATGTAGTTGTACTGGGGATTTTAATTTGTGCGGTTATGTTCGTTCTAGTTAAAGTGTGTAGAGAAATATTTAATTCTTTGCGGTTTTGACTGTGTTCCAACGGGGTTTGGGTAAGAAAAATGCCAGTATTGTTTCACAATGTGATCAACCGATTTTAGGTGGCCAGAATATCAACTTTTGAATACCGTGAAGCAATCGTAACAGGTGGGAGGTCTTCATGAAGAAACATTCGCACTTGTAAACTATGCCCTTATTGTTCAACCGCTCTTTTCCTTATGGCGAACCACGTAAGACGACACTAATTCTTCCTGGAAACATTTACTTGTGACAGCGCCAAAATGGAAGCTTATCACTGTAAAGACTGTGATTTTAAGACAGAAGTGACACTTGTGTTTGAACAACACATTAATGAACATCACGGCCCTAAGAGAGAATCTAGAGAGGAAACATCTAGTGAGGAATCTACTTGTGAGGAAACATCTAGTGACGAAACATCTAGTGAGGATTCCAGCATAGAAAACTACGTTGGCGCAAGATATTGCTTTGAGCCAAATCTGTCGTTAAAGTCGTTTGAGGATACTTCAGCATCCACGGGAACGGAAGAAAATCTTCAAAGTGTGAGTTCTTTGAAAGAGAGTGCCACACACAATTCCGACTTCAAGCAAACTGATGAAATACCTTTGTATAAGTGCGCTAAATGTTCCTACAGATCTGAACTCAAGGAATCTTTAAAACATCACATTGAAAATAGTCATGCCAGCAAACAGTATGCATGCGATAAGTGTCCTTTTAAAAGTAAAAATAAATCCAATTTAAAAGTCCACATAAATAGAATCCATTTAGATGAGCAAGAAGCTGAATGGCACAAGTGCCAAAAATGTCAGTTCAAGAGTAGAGCAAAAGGGGATTTAAGACAACACATAAACTACATACACTTGAACGACGAAGACGTTAAATGGTTCAAATGCAATAAGTGTGATTTCAAAACTAAGCGTGGAACAGCTTTAAAAAGCCACGTAATTGTCAAGCATCTAGACGACTCAGAAATTAAGTGGTACGAATGTGGAAGCTGTTCATACAAAAGTAAAACAAAAAAAACTTTAAGAAAGCATGAAAAGAACCATTCGAAGGTCAAATAATACCATTGTTATTATTGTTCATGTAATGTAGTGAACATTTAAAGCCTCACATAAATAAGCGCTATTCAGAAGGAACTGTAGTTAAATGGTACCAACTGCCTTTGCAAAATTAAAAGTGGAATATCTTTTTATAAACAGAAAAAAAACGTGTGGCAATTAGTTGAGGTTTAGCTTGCTTTAGTTTGGTTATCTTTTTGATTAATTATATTGTAGCATTTGTGTTAGCATTCTGTAATGTGTTATATTTGTGTGACCATCCTTTTATGAAGGTTATGAATAAAAAGATTTTAAATGTTTTTGGTTTTTACATAACTTGTATTGCATTGACTCAAGATCTTCTGGAAGTGTGCAAATGGAGCTCGGAATTGTTACTTCCAGTTAACATTACAAAATGTAGAGTTCTTTACATTGGGAACGCTAATTCCCAACATACCTATTCGATAGACGATGTAGACATGTGTAAATTTGAGTCCCATGTCGATTTAGGGGTACATACTTGTCGCGTCCACTCTTTCTTGGTCTGAACATGCCCTGAGTACCATTAGAAATGCGAACAAAATGGTGTATTTGTTGGAGAAAGCATTTGTCATATAAGAGCTATGCCAGCCCGGTACTTGAGTTTGCCAAGTCTCCGATTCTTCAACGAAATATCGAATTATTAGAATCTGTGCAAAGAAGGCCACAAGAATTCCATTTAGTCAAATTCGGCCAAAGTATGCTGACAGACTTGCAATGATGGGTCTTCCAACGCTTTCAAATCGACGTAAGAAAGGTGACCTAATTTTTACTTTTCGGGCGCTTAAAAATCCGCATCAGGCATTTGTTTCCACTGAATACACTTATTAGAACTAGATGACATTGTTTAAAACTAGTGAAGGATAAATTTCGATCCACAGTGAGCCCTTAGATCATATAATAAATAGATACCACCATGCCGTGTTCTTTCCCTAGGACAGCCTGTGACGACATCCTCCTGTCACACATCTCTCTCGTGCATGGAGGGATTACAAGGAAGCTATCCTTGGCTGATCACTATTTGAATTTTGCGCGTCTAAATTTTAGGAAGTATGTCTGAACTAACTTCGGAAGAAAGATGTTGACAGCTTGATTTTATAAATAATTCACAGTTGATAACAAAAGGAATAGTAAATTATTGGGCAGCAATTGTGATCCTTTATGACTACATCACTTAAAATAGGATCTTTGTTCTAAATTCTAAAATTGTTTTTTGTACAACAACTCGAAAGAGAGGTTAGAAGAAACATCTGTCAAAAGCGATTTGTTGCGCTGGTGCGGTACAAGGATGGAAGTGAAATAGACATATACAGATGAAATGCATATAACAAAGATGAAGATGTGGTGATCACACAAGGATAGCATTATACTACTCCCCTTGACGTAGAAAACGACAACAGATAGCTTCATGTCTAGTCACAGCTTTCAGTTTGAGTATTGGTATCTATTTATTATATGATCTAAGAGTGAGCCAACATTTTATTTCCAACAGAGTTTTCGTGACATGGAACGCCTTACCTGCCGGTATTGTTGAAGCTGTTTCAGTGATTGGTTTCAAAATTAAATTTGATAATCATACCGGATAAAATTATTTGGATTCGTTTCTTAATTAGGTAGCTTACATTAAATACATATATAACGCGTTTATAAAATAAAGTACATAATAAGAAGAATAAGGAACCGGGGGTTCAATAAATATATGACTTCATAACGAGACAATTAAGGCAAAAACGGAATGAGCACACCTGTTCATTGTTTCCTTCCTTGTTCTAAATGAACATTCTACATTACATATACTTACAAAGTATAACAGGAATATCCACCTGTCATTGGTGGTCAAAGGTATGTGGATTAATTTTTCACGATTTAATTAAACTCTTAAGCGGACACTTAAAAAAAATTACCGTGCTACTCAAAGAATTTACCTGAAGTAGCTCTTGCCTAATTTGTTCTCCTACTCTGTTTACTCAATGAGTAACGTGGACCAGATTAGAGTAAATTGCCTTTAATTGTTGTCCAGCTTTTACCATTTAAGTTGCCGCGTAATTTTTTTTCCGTTGGAACTATTTTAGGCAAAAAACAAATTAATGAAACATTAATTTACTAACCGCAAAATATTTACTTAAATGATTTGTTTCTTCTATTTATCTACATGCTATTAAATGAGATGGCCGAGGCTCATTTTCACTCAAGCGTCCTATTAATAAATTTGCAATATAATACCTACAAGTAGGTATGGGAGGTTTCATCCACAACAAAATCTATAGAGCGTTCACGCACATATTTTTAAAAATAGTTATTCTTAAATATTTTAATATTAAAACTTGCTCCAAAAGCTTTAAAATGAGGTCACCGTTATTTAGTGAGACATAAACAATTTGTCAATAAATTCAGGTTAGATTTCTTAAAAAACTAAACGATTAAAAAATAAAGAAAACAATTTTTAGAACAACCCTTCTGCTGGACACTTACTGATTAAAATAAAATAAAAATTAAAAGCCCAAGAATTCAAAATTATTTTTTATTTGGTCGACGCTATCTGTGACGAGCCGTCACTAAATTCGTTCACGAGAAAATCGTAACAAGAAGACGAATAACAAGTCCCCAGAACATAATAACAAAATTCAAAAATTTGCAAATCTTAATTACTTAACACGCATATCATAATCTGCATATAGTACCATTCAAACAGTAATCAAACTCAACCACCAATCCCCGAACGTAAGAACAAAATTCGCATATTCGCAAATTGCAAATATCATTGGGCTTGTCAGACATTGCAAACAACATGCGCAGAACCGCACACCATAAAAATCGCCAATCGCAATTACTTTCATTCGAATTTGTACCCAAACTAAAAACAGCTGCAGACGAAACTCAGACGCATAAAAAACATAAAAGAACACCGCCTTCACGAACGGATGCAACAGGCTGACGAAATGTGGCGATGACGACATGAGAACCATGACGCAAGTTGAAAAAACCACATATTAAACCCTATAAAACAACGAAATAAGACCTAAAGTCGCATTCCGAGTAACACATAAATCACAAAGAAATATGGCTCACTAACGTCGCGGGAGACAAGATGAATGGGTAAAAATCCCTATAAAAACACTAACGCATGAAGTGATTTTAATTCAAGTTCCGAGTTGCAGTCGAAGACTACGTCCGTATCCGTACCGAGTTTTTTTACTATTTTTGCTGAATTTTGAAGAAATCCGAACTTTGAAAAATTTGCTGAGAGCGAGAAGAAGATAGAAAAATCTCTATGTTGTATCTGTGAAAGTCTACATTTCAAGTCATACTTAACTTATCTTGCTCTCCTTTTACCATAATGTGTTTTCGAGTTCGATCGTACATATGAAGCGTTTAATTTATGCTTTTTTTCGGGGATTTTCGATACGTTTGGCGTGAACAGATAGCGCAGGGGCGAAAGGAATTTTTAGCGTTAACAGATGTTCTCGTCGACATATTAACATTGTTTAGAAGGTATCGCAAATAATACGAGATTTATTAGGTTAATTTCAAGTTTTTAATTGCCTGACAATATTAGATGAGTTTTAGGATTAATTTTAATTAGTTGCGTGGGCCATTTTCGTAGATTTTAAGGTTCAATGATGGAACACAATTGCGTGGCGCTTTTTAACATAAATTTGCATGTTTTAGTTATGTAAGTTTAATCTCATGTCTTTTTTGCCATTCTTCATTTACATATTCACTCATTTATCCTTTTATTATGTTTGTAATCTTATTTTTCAATATATGTATTAAAATGTTTACTTATTACCTCTTCCCCCACAAGCAGTTTAGCGCTTCCATTTCCAAGGAAATGGGCCTACACCCAAATAAATAATTTTGTTGGTATCCAAATGCTCGACCGCGCTCAAAAACCATTTGGGCACGACAGATCCTTTAATACTCTCGTTTTTTGAACATTCAAAGGATCAGAAATAGTTTCTAAATCGTCAGTTAGTGCGGACGAAAATTTACAATCTTAACAGTACTCAGAGTACATTTAGGTAGCCAAAGTTTCATTTGTTTTCCTACTATAATAGGACGATTATAGACAACCAAAATGTCGATGTTGGAGTGTTTCGAATTCTCCTGTTTTACAACATGACGTCGTGACAATACGACAAAAGGTCATAACGAAACTTGGAGTGGGGAGTGTAATGCGCGATGAGCCAACCTGTTTATTGCTCCATGTTTGCCCCTCCACGTCAACTGTTCTGTGATAGGTCGCTTCGACTTTTAAGGTTATGCATCAAAATTTCTCCAACAAATTTAATTTGTATGGTTAGGTGCGTCCAAGTTGCACCTGCATGAAAAAATTTGTGATTGTTAGGTAAGAAAACTGCCAGTATTCATCCATAATGTGATGAAACGATTTTAGGTTGCCAAAATGTAAACTTTGGCTACTGTGAAGCAATCGCAACACGTGGAAAATCTTCACAATTGTAAAGTGTATCCTTATTTTTCATCTTCGCTTTTCCTTATGGCCAACCACATGAGAAGACACTGTTTCCCCCAGGAAACATTTACTTGTAACAACGCCAAAATAGAAGCTCATCACTGTAAAGACTGCGATTTTAAAACAGAACTAACAGTTTTGTTCAAACAACACATTCATAAATATCATAGGCTTAAGAAAGAATATAAAGATGATTTATTATGTGCCGACTTCCGCATACAAACCTACGCTTGCGAAAAATGCAACTTTAAAACAAATCTGTCCTTGAAGTGGCTTCAGCATACTTCAGAATGCACGGGAACGAAAGAAAATCATCAAAGTGTGAGTTCTTTGAAAGAGAGTGCTACATACAATTCCAACTCCGAGCAAACTGACGAAGTACGTTGGTTTTATTGCGCCAAATGCTCCTACAAAGGTAAACTCAAAAAACATTTAACAGGTCACATTTGGGATTCCCATTCGACCAAGCGGCATGAATGCGACAAATGCTCATATAAATGTAAAAGAAAAACGAATTTAACACGTCACATAAATAACTTGCATTTGAACCACAAAGACGTTAAATGCTACAAATGCAATCACTGTTATTTCAAAACTAAGCATGAAGAAGCTTTAAAAAGGCACGTACAAGTCAAGCATCTATATGACGATGACGCAAAAATTAAGTGTCCCAATTGTTCCTACAGAACCAAACGAGCATCCAATTTAAAAAGTCTTGTAGTTTATAATCATTTGAATGATGAGGAAATTAAGTGGTGCAAATGTGAAAACTGTTCATACAAAGGTAAAACAAAAAGTAACTTAGCAAGGCATGCGAAGACACATTTGAAGATCAAATAGTATGCGTCTGATTATTACTCATATAACGCAGTGAATATGTATTTAAAGCGTTATATAAGTTAGTAACCATTTGGATGGAACTAAAGTTAAATGGTACCAACACAAATTAAAATCGAATCATCTTTTTACGAACAGGAAAAATACGTGTGGGACTTAGTTGAGGTTTAGTGCTATTTTAGTGAATATACATATATATACATGTATTTTTTGTTAGTTCGTTCATTTATGTCAGACTCTGTTAAATGTTATATTTTGTGACCAGCTTTTATTAAGATTATGATTAGAAACATTTTAGATGTTTTTTTTTACATTACATACATTAAATAATGTGGTGTCCTAATTTGCATTAAAAATTCGCGCCGAAAAAAAAACAGAGACCCGAAATCGCTTGCGAATAAAGTGAATTTGAAAAATGAATTAAGAAAATCGTTAAACATATGCAGTTTACTTCACAAAGCCTTTTACTCTGTTGATGAGCACCTACTTACTTCATAAATTCGAACGCATTTATTAAAGTGGCTTTATTATATTTTACAATAACTGCTGTGGATCTATAATAATTAATCCAATCATTGTTATGTAGACTTAATTAGTATTGTATCATCTTACTTGTATTATTTAATTTTCTTAATTATCTTTGTTTTGGACGTGTGTAAATACATCTGTAGAATGACACCAACAAACTCTATCTATCTATAAAATACAAAATGTTCGAAAAAGTATGAAATTTAATTTTGCGAATTTTATTTTCTTCTTGAGCGTAAGCAAAGACAGTATTGTAATCAAGTCTATCGGAGGGCGACTGGCTTCTTTTGTATTTTCCGACATTTCATGACCCATAGAGTACGAAAAATTAGGTCTCATGGCTCAGTCAGATTTTTATTAGGCAAATAATCTCCAAAACTACCGGAGCGATTGTATTTTATATGTATGTTAAGAATACCGTACAGATGGTAAAACTGGCCAAAATTTGCCCAATCTCCCTTTCAATGTCATAACATCTCAAAAATGTCTATAATAAATTTTATAAAATAGCATACTCTTTTACTTTTTTAATTTTTCGAAGAAGCGGGATTTCTGACACTGCACTTAGGGAGCGAGGTAAGTCCTGTCGAATAATTTTCGACCAATTTTTTAGATTTGCTTAAACAGGTGGCTCAAAAAAATTAATGAATGAGTCAATTTATTTTACACTGCACCAATCCAAGTTGATCTATGTGTCCTTCCAAAACGTTGATACCGCCATTACAAAATTGTGTAAAGAAGAACTCAACTCGAAAATGCTGGATATGTTTCATTGTACTTCAGGAGCGAGGGAAGTTCTGTCTTTACATTGCGTACATAAAATAAATTAATGTATGTATATAACGCGTTTATAAAATAAAGCACACAATATGTGAAATGTAAGGTTCAATAAATACATGACTTAATAACGAAAGAGTAAAGTGAAAAACGGAATGAGCACAGAAAAAAAAACGTGTTGCAGTTAGTTGAGGTTTAGCTCGGGTCCGTTTAGTTATTTTTTTGTTTAATTACTTTTTGTACCATTTGTGTGGGACTCTGTAATGTGTATATTTTGTGTCTATCTTTTTATTAAGATTTTGATCAAAAACATTTTAAGTGCTTTTTTTTTACATTACATACATTAAATATTGTGGTGTCCCAATTTGAATTTAAAGTTCGCGCCGAAAAAAAACCAGCGGCGTCAATTGCATTGGAATAATTTAAATTTGAAAAATGAATTTAAAAAATCGTTAAACATAGGCAAGCATGTGTAACTTTAGTTTCTTTGCTGGTGGTTTGGTAGCTTGTCGAGGGAATGTGTGATTAGTAAAGCAGACCTGTTTGGTTGAGATGCGTCACTTGTTTTTCTGGTGGTACTTAGGTTAAGTTGACTTTGGTTTGGTAATTTCATTACATAGTCTTTGTTTAAACGAAACTTAAATCGCATCGACGCCTCAGTATGTGAATTTTTGACCATGCTTGACCGTACGTTAGGATTTTTAACCGTTCCTGATTCTTACACAGTTTAACAGCCATGAAAGTTGTTATCTAATTTCAGGCAATCTCTCGAAATTATACATTTTATTTTCTTTTTATGAACCGAAGAAATAAGGAACGTTATTCTAGTGAAATAGGTAAGTAATATTTTAAATTGTGAGGGGATGGATGGTTTTTCCTAAATTAAAAATACTATCTAAATGTGATTGATTCACGAGCAGTTAATTTTAAGCATCTTTGAAAATTAGCAGTGAAGTAAATGTCGTCGTGAATTCGAAGAGGGAAATGCTGAGTTTATCTTTTATGTGTTCTATGGCTTCAATTTTGGAACGTTTAAACTCGGACATGCCTCTCAAAGCGACGTGTGTACCGAACGACATTTTGTGATTTCGACCATGTTTAACGTATGTGTTTTATGTATGTATGTGATGGGCGAATTGGATTCGTGTTATTACTGCTTATTCGCAACACCGGATTCCGCCAACGCAACGTGAGATACGTTTGTAACAAATTTTTGTATGAAAAAACAGTTAGGTGGTACGAATGTGCCAATTGTCCATGTAAAAGTAAAGCAAAAATTCATTTGAGGCGGCATGTAAAAATCCATTTGGAGATCAAATAGTATCAATGTGACTTTTGTTTATTATATGAGACGAACCACAGTGTTCTTTTAAAACGTCACATAAATTGCGACCATGTGGATGGGACGGATGTTAAGGAGTACAAATGCGAACACTGTCCTTACAAAAGTCAAAGTAGATTATCTTTTTATAAACACAAAACGAAGCACGTTGGCATTTAGTTGATTATAAGCCGGGTATCCCTGTATTAAATTGAATGTAGTAATAAGCATATGTTTTGTTTAGCTAGTATTTTTCTTATCATTTATGTCAGCACTCTATGTTGTGCTATATTTTGTGACTATCTTTTCATTAAGATTTTGAATAAAAAATAATTAAATGTTTAATTTTTTACACTACATACATTAAATAAATATATAACGCGTTTATAAAATAAAGCACATAATATGCAAACCATAAGGTTAAATAAGTACATGACTGCATAACGACACAGTAAAGTGAAAAACGAAGTGAGAACACCTGTTCATTGTTTCCTTGTTGAACTTCCACGTTTATTCTTGTCATTCATAAGAATTAAAAAAATTAAAGTTGAGCGACTAAAAGTCTAAAATTAAGAAATTACAATAAAATTATCAAAAATCGGTAAAGTTAGAAAACTGAGAAATCGTAAAACCGAAAACCTGAAGAACATTTAAAAAACCAATGGCAATTAGAACACATGCTTAGACATTTCGAATTTGCGCCAATTTGAATTTGACGCCAACGTGTTTTGTTGTGATTGGTAGGCACGATTGCAGAAATTAATGTAATGTAGTTGTACTGGGGATTTTAATTTGTGCGGTTATGTTCGTTCTAGTTAAAGTGTGTAAAGAAATATTTAATTCTTTGCGGTTTTTATTGTGTTCCAACGGGGTTTGAGTAAGAAAAATGCCAGTATTCTTTCACAATGTGATCAATCGATTTTAGGTGGCCAGAATATCAACTTTGAAATGCTGTGAAGCAATCGCAACAGGTGGGAGGTCTCTATGCAAAAACATACACACTTGTAAACTATGCCCTTATTGTTCAACTGCTCTTTTCCTTATGGCGAACAATGTGAGACAACACTGATTCTCCCTGGAAACATTTACTTGTGACAGCGCCAAAATGGAAGCTTATCACTGTAAAGACTGTGATTTTAAGACGGAAGTGACACTTGTGTTTGAACAACACATTAGTGAACATCACGGCCCTAGCAGAGAATCTAGAGAGGAAACACCTAGTGAAGAAACATCTAGTTACGCAGCATCTAGTGAGGATTCCAGCATAGGAAACTACGTTGGCGCAACATATTGCTTTGAGCCAAATCTGTCGTTAAAGTCGGTTCAGCATACTTCAGCATCCACGGGAACGGAAGAAAATCTTCAAAGTGTGAGTTCTTTGAAAGAGAGTGCCACATACAATTCTGACTTCAAGCAAACTGACGAAATACCTTTGTATTATTGCGCTGAATGTTCCTACAGATCTAAACTCAAGGAATCTTTAAAATATCACATTGAAATTAGCCATGCCAAAAAACAGTATGCTTGCGATAAGTGTCCGTACAAAAGTAAACATAAATTTTATTTAAAAGCCCACATAAACAACATACACTTGAACGACGAAGACGCTAAATGGTTCAGATGCAATAAGTGTGATTTCAAAACTAAGCGTGGAACAACTTTAAAAACCCACGTAATTGTCAAGCATCTAGACGACTCAGAAATTAAGTGGTACGAATGTGGAAGCTGTTCATACAAAAGTAAAACAAAAACAAATTTGAGAAAGCATGAAAAGATCCATTCGAAGATCAAATAATGCCATTGCGATTATTGTTCATGTAATGTAGTGAACATTTAAAGCCTCACATAAATAAGCGCTATTCAGAAGGAACTGTAGTTAAATGGTACCAACTGCCTTTGCAAAATTAAAAGTGGAATATCTTTTTATAAACAGAAAAAAACGTGTGGCAATTAGTTGAGGTTTAGTTTAGTTATTTTTTTTTTATTAATTATTTTGTAGCATTTGTGTCAGCATTCTGTAATGTGTTATATTTGTGTGACCATCCTTTTATTGAGGTTATGAATAAAAAGATTTTAAATGTTTTTTGTTTTTACATAACTTGTATTGCATTGGCTCAAGATCTTCTGAAAGTGTGCAAATGGAGCTCAGAATTGTTACTTCCAGTTAACATTACAAAATGTAGAGCTCTTATAATTGGGAACGCCAATTGCCAACATACCTATTTGATAGACGGTGTAGACACTTCAGAATACTTCAGAATGCACGGGAACGAAAGAAAATCTTCAAAATGTGAGTTCTTTGAAAGAGGGTGCTACATACAATTCCAACTCCGAGCAAACTGACGAAGTACATTGGTTTTATTGCGCCAAATGCTCCTACAAAGGTAAACTCAAAAAATATTTAACACGTCACATTTTTGGGATTCCCGTTCGACCAAGCGGCATGAATGCGACAAGTGCTCATATAAATGTAAAAGAAAAAGGAATTTAACACGTCACATAAATAACTTGCATTTGAATGACAACAACGTTAAATGGTACAAATGCAATGAGTGTGCTTTCAAAACTAAGTATGGAATATGTTTAAAAAGACACGTAAATGACAACCATCTAGACGACACAAAAATTAAGTGGTACGAGTGTCATCAGTATCTCATATACCGCAGTGAATATTTAAAGCCTCATATAAATAAGCGCTGTTTGGAAGGAACTGTAGTTTAATTTGTATCAGTTGCCTTTACAAATTTAAAAGTGGATCATTTTTTTATGAACACGTGTGTTATTTAGTTGAGGTTTAGTTGGGTGTCGCTGTATAACGGTGAATGTATCTATCTATTTTTTGTTAGTCCGTTTTTTGTAGCATTTGTGTCAGACTCTGTTACGTGTTATATTTTGTGACCGTCTTTTTATTAAGATTATGATTAGAAACATTTTAAATGTTTTTTTACGTAACATACATACATTACATACTGAATTTAAAGTTCTCGCCGAAAAAAAACAGCGGCTCAAAATCGCATTTGAATAAACTGAATTTGAAAAATGAATTTAAAAAATCGTTAAACATATGCAACCATATGCAACTTTAGTTTCTTTGTTGGTTGTTTGGTAGCTCGTCTAGGGAATTTCTGGGTAGTAAACCAGACCTGTTTATCTGGTGTAGGTGCAACCACATGGTAACTATTAAGGTTACCTAATTTAAGTTTATTTTGGTTTGGTAATTTCATAAAATAACTTTTATTTAAACGAAAATAAGTCGTACCAACGGCGACGCCACAATTTATAAGAGTACAAAGAAATAACTGTCCCGTTCCCGTCTGTCTGTCTGCCGTCCCGGATTTTTATTACGACAGATAATGTCCGAATGTAGGGGGCGATTGTTGTCAAATTTTGTATTTTTGTTAGGAATATCATGTAGATGGTAGAACGCTAACCAAAATTTGGCTAATCATCCCCACCCATAATGTTATGATGTCACTTCAAAATTGCACATAGTAAATGGGTTTTAAATTGTATGAAATAACATACTCCTGTACATGTAGTTTATGATTCCGTATTGAGTTTTTACCCGAAACGACAAGATTTTTGGAAAAAAATCAAAATAATAAAACAACATTTTGCAATTTAATTGTGAATCTACACAACCGAATGCTCTGAAATCTTGTAGATATTTCAAAATTATGATAAGCATTATAACTTTTTATTCAAAATATATTTATTTATCCCTTTCAAAGAATTGATGACGTCAGCTCAAAATTTTGCCGTATAAATCCTATATAAATTGTACTAAATATGATGAGTTGATACGTGTAATTTAATATTCCTTTCCTGAATGCGTGAATTTATTTTATTGATTTAATCAGGAACTACACAATCGAATGCTTTCAAATCTTGGAGACGTTTTACAGTTATCATAAGCATGGTAAATTTTCGATCAAAATGTATTTGCTCATCCCCCCCAATTGATGAGCCAGCCCAAAATTTTGCAAAAAAAGTCCTATCTTGAATGTGCAAAGTATGATTAGTCTGTACTTGTGATTTAACACTGCATTAATATTTTTTAGATTTGCTTACACGGGATGTCTGAAAAAAATAATTACTGAGTCAATTTATTTTAATGATTAAATCAAGAATTGCAAAACTGAATATTTTGAAATCTTGACGTTTTGAAGTTATTGTAAGCATGCATCGATAATGCCAACGAGGTTGGCGAAACGCGTCGATAAATATATTGTGTGTTTTTGGTATTGTGGCCATAATGTTCGAAAAATTATAAAATTTAATTTTGCGAATTCTATTTTTACTTCTTGATCGTAACCAAAGAAAGTATTGTAATCGAGTCTATCGGCGGGCGACTGGCTACTTTTGTTTTCCTGACATTTCATGGCCCATAGAGTATGAAAATTTAGGTCTCGTGGCTCAGTATGTGTACCATCTGTTCAGATTTTTATTAGGCAGATAATATACAAAACTACTGGACCGATTGTATTTTATATGTATGTTAAGAATATCGTGTAGTTGGTAATACTCTAACCAAAATTTGCCCAATCTCCCTATCAGTGTCATAACATCTCAAAAATGTTTATAATAAATTTCCATATGAAGAGCAAATAGTATCCGTGCGATTATTGCACATGTAACGCAGTCAACATTCAAAGCGTCATATAAATAAGCGCCATTTAGATGGAACTGGAATTAACTGGTACCAACTGCCTTTAACAAATTGAAAGTGGGCCATCTTTTTACAAACAGAAAAAAAACATGTTGCAGTTAGTTGAGGTTTAGTTTGGCTCAGTTTAGTTATTTTTTTGTTTAATTACTTTTTGTAGCATTTGTGTGGGACTTTGTAATCTATACTTATATAATAAAGCTGAAGTGGTTGTTTATTTGAACGCGCTAATCTCAGAAACTACTGGTTCAAATTCAAAAAATCTTTTTGTGTTGGATAGTCCATTTATCGTATGTACATATCGGCTATATAAAATCACGCTACAATCAATAGGAGCGAAGTAGCAATGACAAATTCAGAAAAACCGGAAAATTATTCCTCCTTTGACAGCTTCCGTTGCTCACGCTGCTTAAACGCTTAAAGTTACATAAAAATCATGTATGACGAAATTGTTCCCCTCTAAAAGTTCTAAAGAAAAGTCCCCGATAGCATATGTTTATCTTTTAAGGTCGACTCAGTATAACCTTTTTTATGGTAATGAAATTTGTTCTAAAATAATAATGCATCATGTATAAAATTCTCACGTCACAGTGTTTGTAACCGAACTCCTCCAAAATGGGTTGACCGATTTGTATGAAATTTTTTATGTAAATTCGGTAGGTCTGAGAATAGGTTGCACACTATTTTTTATACCCCTAAGTGATAAGGGTGGCCCACCCTAAAAAATTTTTGTCTATTTTTTGGACAAAATTTTTTATTTTTATTTTTTTAAGATTTGGCATCAAAAAATACATATAACTCTAAATTTTCACCTCTCTACCACCAACCCCCATTTTTTAATCTTCTATATAATAAAAATCAATTGCTGTTCCTGTTAGTCTCGCTAAAACTCAAAAACGGCTTGACCGATTTGAAGAATTTTTTATATTATGGGGATGGTTTATAAATAAAAAAAATAGGGAAAACTTAAAAGAGCAGCTAAAAAATCAAAAAATTCTAAAAATTTTGTATGGGAATCGCCACTTCGAATTAAGTTGAATAGTTGGCGTTCCCGACGGACCTGTCGTCTGACTGACGTGTCATACAAAACTATTTCTTCCGTGCGATTGTGCGAAATATATTGCATTTCAAATCGTTCTTTGTTTTTTCGTAAGAAAAAATCGTCGTTTATTTTAAGAAAAGTCTTGGTTAAAGTGAATTTAGTTACACATTGCGAAAGTTTCTTATTAATTTTGAACTGCCATTCCATTTACCTATGTTCACTTTGTTGGTTTCGACAAAACCTCAAACTTTACCGTTATTCAAGGATTTAATTTGAGGTTTTCAATATTTTAAAATTCTCAAGACAAAATTTACATATTTGATCGACTGTGAAAATAATTCTGTGTCGTTTTATGAAGTTCATTACAATGCCGAGAAGACGACAAGCTGACATAAGTCAATTAAATGTACGACGAACTACCTCAGGTGCAAACCGCAATGATTTATTTCATGGGCAATTCGGATATGGAAGTTGATCAGCGTTGTGTTCATATAATCAACATAATCAAACATTGAAGCGAGACATTAGGTGGTATGAATAAAACTGTGTAGAAACTCATATTCGAAGTACGAAGTACCTACTTCATTATTACTCTTATATACCTGAGCATCTACTCTATATACTGAGTACCTACTTCAAAACATTGTATTGTTTTGTGAGCATTTAATCTAAAAATGAGCATCGGCGTGGCAAATAATTGAGCTGTCTGTACAGCAGCTTAGAAAACGAGTAGGATCGTTGTAAGAGTGAATTTTAACTAAACATGGCGACTTTCATGAACGTGGAACGTCGCCAAAAGGTGCATTCAGATTAAAAGACACATTAGGAGCGGGAATATCGAAAACTTTTCAGGTAATTAACTTTTATTTATGCATAAATTGTGCAGTGCGTTTTTTCTAACACTGGCCATATAGAGATTCCCATCTCAAGGTGTCTACCCCATACTAACTTATATTTTGGTGACTCGATTTTTGCCTTGATGGTTGAACACTGTCACTGTAGGTAGAAAACTAGAAATATTTTGATTTGATATTCGAGTAGATACTTCGTATTTCGAGTATGAGCATCTACTGAGTTTTATTTATATCAACCATTGTCAAAAAATTGATCGAACGTTGTTTCGACAGAACTTTCTTCGCAGCAAAACTATAATGAAACATATTCAGCATTTTCGAGTTGAGTGTTTTCTTCACACAATTTTGTGATGACCTAATCAACATTTACGAACAACACGTATACCACCTTGGATTGGTGCAGTGTAATACTAAAAATAACTGTATTGTATTCCCAAAGTTATCTGCGAAAATCGAGTGAGCCGGTCCATCAATTTTTTGGGGGGAATAAATAAATATTCTTAACAATTTACCATGCTTACAATAACTTTAAAACGTCTGCAAGATCTCAAAGTATTCATTTTTGCAACTCTTGAGTTATTCACTAAAATAAATTGACTGATCCATATATTTTTTTGAGTCACTGTAAAAGCAAATTTAAAAAATATGAATGCAATGATAAATTACGAAAATATACTGATGATACTGCAGATTTTAGATAGGAAGTTGCGAATACCCAATTCGAGAAAGAGCTGGATCACCGAGATATGGATTTAAATAGAGGCCGCCGCCGATAATGATTCATTCATTATTCAGTCAAGAGTGGAGTGCATTTAAGTTGCGAAGTTGTTTTGTACGTAATCGCAGTTAGTCGTGTAAATACCAGTTAAAGAAATAAATAGTTGAGTTTTTACCTACGCCCGATTAATTATTCGCCCGCCAATCGTAACAATATAGTCAAAATTAATTCCGAATTTGTATCTGCATTTATTTATTCTGAAACGTTTTCTTACCGTAGTTCTTTTCTAAAGTAGCAATATAGTGGCCTATTTTACCATGAACTTTTCAAATATTTTCTTAAAAGTCTGTTAAAAGCTGAACGGACTATTAAGGGCTTTTTCTGTCTTCCAAACACTTAAAATATTTTGACATTTGCCTATGGCTGCATCAAATCTTAAAATTAGTTATTTAATCTTCAGAAAATGGTCAACGTTAAAAATTGCGGCCTAACCAAGTACACCATTTTGTAACAACTGGTTCCGGAGGCAAAGATGTGTGGGGCAATTTTTCACGATATAATTGAACCCATTAAAAGAAATTAACCGTAATAATTAAAGAATTTACTTGAGGAAACTTTTGCCTAATTTATTCTGCTACTCCATTTACTCTGTGAGCCAAACAAGTAACGTGGACCCGATTAGAGTAAATTGTTTTTAATTGTTGCCCAGCTTTTACCATATAAATTGCGCCATCAAATAGCATAAGTAATTTTTTCCATTGGAACTTAAACATTCATTTACTAATCTCAAAATACTTGAAAGATTTGTTTCTTTTTGTGTCTACATGCTATTAAATACTTGCTATATACTTGTGTATTTATTGGCTGCTGGTCTATACTTGAAAAATTTTTTAACAGAATTATTCTTCTTATGTTTATTTCGTTGGACGTTTCGGCAAGACGTCCCTTCCCTTTTTAAACAATTATTCGTCCCTGAAAAACTACATGTACCTGGAATAAAATTTAACCATCCGATAACACAAAACACGTTGTTATAATAAAATTAAAATTATTAGTTAAAAATTAAAATTTTCCCTATCTTTTTTTCCTACACTTCCTCGTCTTGTTCGTTGTCGTCTATGCGAACAAGATGAGAAAGTGCAGGAAAAAAAGTAAGGGAAAATTTTAATTTAAACAACTATTTCGAAAAGAAAGAACTTTGAAAATTATCATATTATCTTCCATCAAAACGGGGTAAAACCATGAAGGAGATTGAAAAATTTAAAGTGAAACCTCGAAAAATTGCAGAAAATATCATAAATAAAAAATCAAATAATTGAAAAATCGGGAAAACACAAAATCTGAAAAATCCTAAAATCGAAAAATCGAATTGGTATGAATGTTAAAATTGTCCATACAAAGCTAAACTGGCGTCGCAATTCGAAATCATGTTATTTTTCAACATCTGAATCAAGAAAAAGTTAAGTGCCAACTGTCCATAAAAGTAAAGCAAAAACTAATCTGAGACGGCATGTAAAAATCCATCTGGAGATCAAATTCTATCAGTGCGACTATTATTCATACAAGACGAAACATAGTGATCTTTTAAAGCGTCATATAAATAGCGACCATATGGATGGAACGGATGTTAAGGAGTAAAATCAAAAACAAAAAATGGAGTGCATAGTTGAAAAATCGGAAAAATTAGAAAACTGAGAAATCGTAAAATCGAAAAACTGAAGAACATTTAAAAAGCAAAAATCACTACCAGTTAGAAAACGTGCTTAGACCATTCAAACCTGCGCCATTTTGAATTGCACAAATGTGCTTTGGTGTGATTGGTCGACACGATTGTGGAATTTAATCTAATCTAGTTGAACTGGGAGTTTTGATTTGTGCGGTTATGTTCCTTCAACTTGCACGTGTGTAAAGAAATATTTCATCCTTTCCGGCATTTGGGTAAGAAAAATGCCAGTATTCTTCTACAGTGTGATAAAACAGTTTTAGGTGTTCAAAATTTCAACTTTGAAATACTATGAATGAAGTAATCACAACAGCTGGGAGGTCTTCATGGAAAAACGTATACACCTGTGTGTTGTGCCCTTATTTTTCAACTTCGCTTTTCCTTAAGGCGAACCACATGAGACGACACTAAATCCCCCAGGAAACATTTACTTGTGACAACGCCAAAATGGAAGCTCATCACTCTACGGACTACGGCTCTAATAGAGAATCTAGTAAAGAAACATCTAGTGAGGATTCCAGCATAGAAAACTACGGTTGCGCAATATATTGCTTTGAGCCAAATCTGTCGTTGAAGTCGTTTCAGCATACTTCAGCATGCACGGAAACGAAAGAAAATCTTCAAAGTGTGAGTTCTTTGAAAGAGAATACCACATACAACTCCGACTTCAAGCAAACTGACAAAGTAGATTGGTTTTATTGCGCCGAATGTTCCTACAAAGGTAAACTCAAAAAATATTTAAAACGTCACATTCGGGATTGCCATTCGACCAAGCGGTATGAATGCGACAAGTGCTCATTTAAATGTAAAAGAAAGATGAATTTAACACTTCACATAAATAACGTGCATTTGAACGACAAAGACGTTAAATGGCGCAAATGCAATGAATGTGCTTTCAAAACTAAGTATGGAGTATCTTTAAAAAGACACGTAAATGGCAACCATCTAGACGACACAAAAATTAAATGGTACAAGTGTCACAATTGTTCCTTCAGAACCAAACGAGCAGAGAATTTAAAAAGGCATGAAATATCTATACATTTGAATGATGAAGAAATTAAGTGGTATAAATGTGAAGACTGTTCATACAAAAGTAAAAGAAACAGTAATTTAAAAAGGCATGTAAAAATCCATTTGAAGATCAAATAGTATCCGTGTGATTATCTCATATAACGCAGTGAATATTTAAAGCCTCATATAAATAAGCGCTGTTTGGAAGGAACTGTAGTTAAATGGTATAACTTACCTTTACAAATTTAAAAGTGGACCTTTTTTTTATGAACACGCGTGTTATTTAGTTGAGGTTTAGTTAGGTGTCGTAGTATAACGGTGAATGTATATACATATATTTTTTGTTAGTCCGTTTTTTGTAGCATTTGTGTCAGACTCTGTTATGTTTTATATTTTGTGACCATCTTTTTATTAAGATTATGACTAGAAACATTTTAAATGTTTTTTTTTTACATTACATACATTAAATAAACAGTGGCCTAAAATCGCTTTCGAATAATTTGAATTTAAAAAATGAATTAAGAAAATCGTTAAACATCGCCATCTTTTCAAGTTTTTCGCGTTTTTAAGAAATAACAATATATTATTAATACGCAAGAGCAAAACATAAAGTTTAACACATGACGTTACCATGAGACTGTAAAATGAATTACATAATGAAAAACTTTAGGACTTTCAAAAAATTTAATGAACGAATACAATATTTAAATAATAGATTCACTTTCAAAGAAGAGAACCAAATGAACATTCTACATTACATATACTTACAAAGTATAACAGTTATTCATAACGAGAAAAATTGTTTAAAAAATAACTAGTTAAACAATGGAAAATTTTAACCAAACGATATTTATACAATATTTACTTCTTTTTCACTGGATGAGGAAATTGTGTTCCAACTTCTCTCATTGGTTTTTGCTACACATACTGAATTTTATGTGTTCCAGAAACAAATTTAGTTTTTAAAACTTTTCGTTTCAATAGCTCTCGGTTACATCACTATGGGTTACATCATAATCATGTTGAGAAAAATGTTCAAAATTAATTCCTGTAATATTTTCTTTTCTTACAGAATTTGAAAAGGTCTACGGTCTTGATATTGATGCCTGTCAGACAAAATATATTTATATTTTGAAAAATTTCTCTTGATTTATTAAGAAAAAAACCTATTAATGCAACGTTTTCGTACCGTATAGTTCTTCTCTAAAATAACATTAAATTTGTTATAGTTAAAAGCATTTTTAAGCTGAGGACACTATCAAGGGCCTTTTCTGTTTTCCTAACATTTAATTGTCTTTGAAATGAATTTAAAATCCCAATATTAGATTAAAATCTTCGGAAAACGGACGACGTAAAAAATTGCGACTTTTAACCAAGTGCATTCACTTGTCACTGGTTCCGGAGGCCAAGGTATGTGGACTAATTTTTCACGTTTTAATTAAACTCTTAAGCGGACACTTAAAAAAAAATTACCGTGCTACTTAAAGAATTTACCTGAGGTAACTCTTGCCTAATTTGTTCTGCTACTCTATTTACTCAATGAGTAACGTGGACCAGATTAGGCCAAATTGTTTTTAATTGTTGCCCAGCTTTTACCATTTAAGTTGCGGCGTCAGACAGCATACGTATTTTTTTTTCCGTTGAAACTATTTTAGGCAAAAAAAATCATGAAACATTCATTTACTAATCTCAAAATGTTTACTTAAATGATTTGTTTCTTCTATTTATCTACATTCTATTAAATGCGATGGCCGAGACTCATTTTCACTCAATCGTCCTATTAATAAATTTGCAATATAATGCCTACAAGTATGGGTGGTTTTATCCACAACAACACCTATAGAGCGTCCACCAACATGTTTTTAAAAAGTAGTCAATGTTAAATATTTTGGTATTTAAGCCCGCACTAAAAGCTTTAAAGTCTTCACACCGTTATTTAGTGAGACATAAACAATTTGTCACTAAATTCGGGTTACATTTCTTAAAAAACTAAACGATTAAAAAATAAAGAAAAAAGTTTTTAGAACAACCCTTCTGCTGGACACTTACTGATTAAAATAAAATTAAAATTAAAAACCCAAGAATTCAAAATTATTTTTTATTTGGTCGACGCCATCTGTGACGAGCCGCCACTAAATTTATTCACAAGAAAATCGTAACAAAAAGACGAATAACAAGTCCCCAAAACATAGTAATAAAATTCGAAAATTTGCAAATCTTAATTACTTAACAGGCATGTCATCATCTGCGTATAATACCATGCAAACAGTAATCAAACTCAACCATGAATCCCCGAACGTTAGAACAAAATCCGCATATTCGCAAATTGCAAATATCATTGGGCTTGTCACACATTGCAAACAACATGCGCAGAACCGTACACCATAAAAATCGCCAATCGCAATTACTTCCATTCGAATTTGTACCCAAACTAAAAACAGCTGCAGACGAAACGCAGACGCATAAAACACATCAAAGAACACCGCCTTCACGAACGGATGCAACAGGCTGACGAAATGTGGCGATGACGACATGGGAACCATGACGCAAGTTGAAAAAACCCCATATTAAACCCTATAAAACAACGAAATAAGACCTAAAGTCGCGTTCCGAATATCACATAAGTCACAAAGAAATATGGCTCAGTAACGTCGCGGGAGACAAAATGAATGGGTAAAAATCCCTATAAAAGCAGTAACGCTTGAAGTGATTTTAATTCAAGTTCGGAGTTGCAGTCGAAGACTACGTCCGTATCCGTACGGAGTTTTTTTACTATTTTTGGTGAATTTTCAAGAAATCCGAACTTAGAAAAATTTACTGAGAGCGAGAAGAAGATAGAAAAATCTCTATACTGCATCTGTGAAAGTCTACATTTCAAGTCATATTTAACTTATCTTGCTCTCCTTTTTCCATAATGCGTTTAATTTATGCTTTTTTTCGGGGGTTTGGCGTGAACAGATAGCACAGAGGCGAAAGGAATTTTTAGCATTAACAGATGTTCTCGTTTACATATTAACATTGTTTAGAAGGTATCGCAAATAATTAGGGATTTATTAGGTGAATTTAAAGTTTTTAATTGCACGACAATATTAGATGAGTTTTAGGATTAAATTTAATTAGTTTCGTGATTTATGTTCGTAGATTTTAAGGTTCAATGGTGGAACACAACTGCGTGGTGCTTTTTAACATAAATTTGCATATTTTAGTTATGTAAGTTTAATCTCAATTCTTATTTTGCCATTCTTCATTTACATATTTACTCATTTATCCTTTTATGTTTGTAGTCTAATTTGTCTATATATGTATTAAAATGTTTGCCTATTTCCTCTTCCCCCACAAGCAATTTAGCGCTTCCATTTCCAAGGAAATGGGCCTACACCCAAATAAATAATTTTGTTAGTGTCCAAATGCTCGGCCGCGGTCAAAAACCATTTGGGCACGACAGATCCTTTAATACTTTCGTTTTTTGAACTTTCAAAGGATCAGAAATAGTTTCTAAATCGTCAGTTACTGCGGACGAAAATTTGCAGTTTTAACAGTACTCAGAGTAGATTTAGGTAGCCAAAGTTGCATTTGTTTTCGTACTATAATAGGACGGTTGTAGACAACCAAAATGTCGATGTTGGAGTGTTTCGAATTCTCCTGTTTTACAATGTGACAACGTGACGTCCTGACAATAAGACAACGTCATTACGAAACTTGGAGTGGGGAGTGTAATGCGCGATGAGCCAACTTGTTTATTGCTCCATGTTTGCCCCTCCACGTCAACTGTTCTGTGATAGGTCGTTTCAACTTTTAAGGTTATGCACCAAAATTTCTCCAACAGATTTAATTTGTATGGTTAGGTGCGTCCAAATTGCACCTGCATGAAAAAAATTGTGATTGTTTTCAATTGTAATTGGGCTCTAACGCGGTTAGGTATGAAAACAGCCAGTATTCATCCATAGTGTGATAACACGGTTTTAGGTTGCCAAAATGTAAACTTTGGACTACTGTGAAGCAATCGCAACACGTGGAAGATCTTCACAATTGTAAACTGTGCCCTTATTTTTCATCTTCGCTTTTCCTTATGGCCAACCACATAAGAAGACACTGTTTCTCCCAGGAAACATTTACTTGTGACAGCGCCAAAATAGAAGCTTATCCCTGTAATAACTGTGATTTTAAAACGGCACTGAAAGTTTTGTTGAAAGAACACACTGATAAATATCATAGGCTTAAAAGAGAATATAAAGACAATTTATTATGTGACGACTTCTGCATCCAAACCTACGTTTGTGAAAAATGCAACTTTCAAACAAATATGTCGTTGAAGTGGCTTCAGCATACTTCAGAATGCACGGGAACGAAAGAAAATCTTCCAAGTGCGAGTTCTTTGAAAGAAAGTGCTACATACAATTCCGACTTCAAGCAAACTGACGAAATACCTTTGTATTACTGCGCTGAATGTTCCTACAGATCTAAACTCAAGGAATCTTTAAAATATCACATTGAAATTAGCCATGCTAACAAACAGTATGCATGCGATAAGTGTCCGTACAAAAGTAAACGTAAATCCGATTTAAAAGTCCACATAAATAGAATCCATTTAGATGAGCAAGAAGCTGAATGGCACAAGTGCCAAAAATGTCAGTTCAAGAGTAGAGCAAAAGGGGATTTAAGACAACACATAAACTACATACACTTGAACGACGAAGACGTTAAATGGTTCAAATGCAATAAGTGTGATTTCAAAACTAAGCGTGGAATAACTTTAAAAACCCACGTAATTGTCAAGCATCTAGACGACGCAAACATTAAGTGGTACGAATGTGGAAGCTGTTCATACAAAAGTAAAACAAGAAATTATTTAAGAAGGCATGAAAAGATACATTCGAAGATCAAATAGTACCATTGCGATTATTGTTCATGTCAGCTAGTGAACATTTAAAGCCTCACATAAATAAGCGTCATTCAGAAGGAACTGTAGTTAAATGGTACCAACTACCTTTACAAAATTAAAAGTGGAACATATTTTTATAAACAGAAAAAAAACGTGTGGAAATTAGTTTAGGTTTTAGCATGGTTTAGTTTAGTTATTTTTTTTATTAATTATATTGTAGCAATTGTGTCAGCATTCTGTAATGTGTTATATTTGTGTGACCATCCTTTTATTGAGGTTATGAATAAAAAGATTTTAAATGTTTTTTGTTTTTACATAACTTGTATTGCATTGGCTCAAGATCTTCTGGAAGTGTGCAAATGGAGCTCGGAATTGTTACTTTCAGTTAACATTACAAAATGTAGAGTTC